TCACTCATACATCACCCCATAACCCCCCATCACTCCTACATCACCCCATCACTCCTACATCACCCCCATCACTCCTACACCACCCCCATCACTCCTACATCACTCCTACATCACCCCATCACTCCTACATCTCTCCTACATCACTCCCCATCACTCCTACGTAACTCCCATCACTCCTACATCACCCCCATCACTCCTACACCACCCCCATCACTCCTACATCACTCCCCATCACTCCTACATCACCCCCATCACTCCTACATCACTCCCCATCACTCCTACATCACCCCCATCACTCCTACATCACCCCCATCACTCCTACACCACCCCCATCACTCCTACACCACCCCCATCACTCCTACACCACCCCCATCACTCCTACATAACTCCCATCACTCCTACACCACCCCCATCACTCCTACATCACCCCCATCACTCCTACCACCCCCATCACTCCTACACCACCCCCATCACTCCTACACCACCCCCATCACTCCTACACCACCCCCCATCACTCCTACACCACCCCCATCACTCCTACACCACCCCCATCACTCCTACACCACCCCCATCCCTCCTACACCACCCCCATCACTCCTACACCACCCCCATCACTCCTACACCACCCCCATCACTCCTACACCACCCCCATCACTCCTACACCACCCCATCACTCCTACACCACCCCCATCACTCCTACACCACCCCCATCACTCCTACATCACCCCCATCACTCCTACATCACTCATACACCACTCCTACACCACCCCCATCACTCCTACACCACCCCCATCACTGCTACACCACCCCCATCACTCCTACACCACCCCCATCACTCCTACACCACCCCCATCACTCCTACACCACCCCCATCACTCCTACATCACCCCCATCACTCCTACATCACCCCATCACTCCTACATCACCCCCATCACTCCTACATCACCCCCATCCCTCCTACATCACCCCCATCACTCCTACATCACCCCCATCACTCCTACATCACCCCCATCACTCCTACACCACCCCCATCACTCCTACATCACCCCCATCACTCCTACATCACCCCCATCACTCCTACACCACCCCCATCACTCCTACATCACTCCCCATCACTCATACATCACTCCTACACCACCCCCATCACTCCTACATCACTCCCCATCACTCATACACCACTCCTACACCACCCCCATCACTGCTACAACCACCCCCATCATTCCTACATCACCCCCATCACTCCTACATCACCCCCATCACTCATACATCACTCCTACACCACCCCCATCACTCCTACACCACTCATACATCACCCCCCATCACTCCCCATCACTCCCCATCACTCCTACATCACCCCCATCACCACCCCTACAGACCCCCACTCCTACAGACCCCCACACCACTTCTACAGACCCCCACCCCACCCCTACAGACCCCACCCCACCCCTACAGCACCCCACCCCACCCCTACAGACCCCCACCCCACCCCTACAGACCCCCACCCCACTCCTACAGACCCCCACCCCACTCCTACAGACCCCCACCCCACCCCTACAGACCCCCACCCCACCCCTACAGACCCCCACCCCACCCCTACAGACCCCCACCCCACTTCTACAGACCCCCACCCCACCCCTACAGACCCCCACCCCACTCCTACAGACCCCCACCCCACTCCTACAGACCCCCACCCCACCCCTACAGCACCCCACCCCACCCCTACAGACCCCCACCCCACTCCTACAGACCCCCACCCCACCCCTACAGCACCCCACCCCACCCCTACAGACCCCCACCCCACTCCTACAGACCCCCACCCCACCCCTACAGCACCCCACCCCACCCCTACAGACCCCCACCCCACTTCTACAGACCCCCACCCCACTCCTACAGACCCCCACCCCACCCCTACAGACCCCCACCCCACTCCTACAGACCCCCACCCCACTCCTACAGACCCCCACCCCACACCTACAGACCCCCACCCTACCCCTACAGACCCCCACCCCACTTCTACAGACCCCCACCCCACCCCTACAGACCCCCACCCCACTTCTACAGACCCCCACCCCACACCTACAGACCCCCACCCCACCCCTACAGACCCCCACCCCACCCCTACAGACCCCCACCCCACTCCTACAGACCCCCACCCCACTCCTACAGACCCCCACCCCACCCCTACAGACCCCCACCCCACACCTACAGACCCCCACCCCACTTCTACAGACCCCCACCCCACCCCTACAGACCCCACCCACCCTACAGACCCCCACCCCACTTCTACAGACCCCCACCCCACACCTACAGACCCCCACCCCACCCCTACAGACCCCCACCCCACCCCTACAGACCCCCACCCCACACCTACAGACCCCCACCCCACTCCTACAGACCCCCACCCCACCCCTACAGACCCCCACCCCACCCCTACAGACCCCCACCCCACTCCTACAGACCCCCACCCCACCCCTACAGACCCCCACCCCACTTCTACAGACCCCCACCCCACCCCTACAGACCCCCACCCCACTCCTACAGACCCCCACCCCACCCCTACAGACCCCCACCCCACTCCTACAGACCCCCACCCCTACAGACCCCCACCCCACCCCTACAGACCCCCACCCCACTCCTACAGACCTCCATCACACCCCTACAGACCCCCACCCCACTCCTACAGACCCCCACCCCACTCCTACAGACCCCCACTCCTACAGACCCCCACCCCACCCCTACAGACCCCCACTCCTACAGACCTCCATCCCACCCCTACAGACCCCCACCCCACTCCTACAGACCCCACCCCACTCCTACAGACCCCCACCCCACTCCTACAGACCCCCACCCCACCCCTACAGACCCCCACCCCACTCCTACAGACCCCCACCCCACCCCTACAGACCCCACCCCCACTCCTACAGACCCCCACCCCACTCCTACAGACCCCCACCCCACCCCTACAGACCCCCACCCCACCCCTACAGACCCCCACCCCACTCCTACAGACCCCCACCCCACTCCTACAGACCCCCACCCCACTCCTACAGACCCCCACCCCACTCCTACAGACCCCCACCCCACTCCTACAGACCCCCACCCCACTCCTACAGACCCCCACCCCACCCCTACAGACCCCCACCCCACTCCTACAGACCCCCACCCCACTCCTACAGACCCCCACCCCACTCCTACAGACCCCCACCCCACTCCTACAGACCCCCACCCCACCCCTACAGACCCCCACCCCACCCTACAGACCCCCACCCCACTCCTACAGACCCCCACCCCACTCCTACAGACCCCCACCCCACTCCTACAGACCCCCACCCCACTCCTACAGACCCCCACCCCACTCCTACAGACCCCCACCCCACCCCTACAGACCCCCACCCCACCCCTACAGACCCCCACCCCACCCCTACAGACCCCCACCCCACCCCTACAGACCCCACCCCACCCCTACAGACCCCCACTCCACCCCTACAGACCCCCACCCCACTCCTACAGACCCCCACCCCACTCCTACAGACCCCCACCCCACCCCTACAGACCCCCACCCCACTCCTACAGACCCCCACCCCACTCCTACAGACCCCCACCCCACTCCTACAGACCCCCACCCCACTCCTACAGACCCCCACCCCACCCCTACAGACCCCCACCCCACTCCTACAGACCCCCACCCCACTCCTACAGACCCCCACCCCACTCCTACAGACCCCCACCCCACTCCTACAGACCCCCACCCCACTCCTACAGACCCCCACCCCACTCCTACAGACCCCCACCCCACTCCTACAGACCCCACCCCACTCCTACAGACCCCACCCCACCCCTACAGACCCCACCCCACTCCTACAGACCCCCACACCTGCACAGCTGTTGCTCCTCGCGCACAGCTCTGACGCGCGAGGGCAGTCCCCCGGTAGAAGAATCGAGACCCCTGAGACAAGCGACTCCCTTCGAAGCGAGACCCCTTCGAGTAGGGACGGCAGTGCGTGGGGGGGGGGGGGCGGTCGTGTGACCGCTGTGAGGGGGGCTGCCCCCTGGGGAGAACTAAGAGCGTGACCCCCCCCCCCCCCCGTGAGTAATGGACGAGGAGTCGCTGGTCCTGGCAGGTTCCCGTGGTGACATCGACACGACCACGGTGGTGGTGCTGGTGGTGCTGGTGCTGGTGGTGCTGGTGGTGGTGCTGGTGCTGGTGGTGCTGGTGGTGGTGCTGGTGGTGCTGGTGCTGGTGGTGGTGGTGCTGGTGGTGCTGGTGGTGCTGGTGCTGGTGGTGCTGGTGGTGCTGTTGGTGGTGCTGGTGGTGGTGGTGCTGGTGGTGGTACTGGTGGTGGTGCTGGTGGTGCTGGTGGTGGTGCTGGTGGTGCTGGTGGTGGTGGTGCTGGTGGTGGTGCTGGTGGAGGTGGTGGTGCTGGTGGTGCTGGTGGTGGTGCTGGTGGTGGTGCTGGTGGTGGTGGTGCTGGTGGTGGTGCTGGTGGAGGTGGTGGTGCTGGTGCTGGTGGTGCTGGTGGTGCTGGTGGTGCTGGTGGTGGTGCTGGTGGTGGTGCTGGTGGAGGAGCTGGTGGTGGTGCTGGTGGAGGTGCTGGTGCTGGTGGTGGTGCTGGTGGTGCTGGTGGTGGTGCTGGTGGTGCTGGTGGTGGTGCTGGTGATGCTGGTGGTGATAGAGGCACGGGTGTTACCCTGCGACCCCCCCACACCACCTCCCCTTGGGGTGGTGGTGTGGGGGGTGCAGACATCTCTATCTCTTGTCTCCACCTACAATATAAAAAGTTGTTTTTTGACACATCCCATCAGCCCGGCGGGCGAGTGAATCATTTCACCCAAACAGGAGCCACATCGTAAACAGACAGAGGGGGGGGGGGGGTCATTTACGGGGGGCAGTTCCCCAGCACCAGCGAACCCCTGCACTGCTGTCAGCCTCCCACCCCTCCACGTGCGCAGAGTTCACACCAAGTTGCTCACCCCCCCCATAGCCCCCCTCGTCTCCCCTCCTCTACCCCCCCAGCCCCCGCTCGCCGCTCACCTTCCAGCCGGCGGAGCTGTTGCTGTCGCCCTTGTCCCTGAAGTAGGGCACGCTGCGCACCATCCACTCGTAGATCTGCGCCAGCGTGAGGCGGTGCTCCGGAGCGCTCTCGATGGCGCTTGTGATGAGGTCGGCGTACGACAAATTCCCCCACGCGTTGCGTCGGGACGACCCCTTCTTGAGCCCCGCTCCCACGCACGGCAGCGACGCGCCGCTGGGGCTCGCTCCGTCGATCCCCTCCTCGGTCCCCTCGGTCCCGTCGACCCCCTCGACGGCTCCGTCCGAGCCCCGCTGGCCCGGGTCCCCATCCTTGATCGACAGGTCCGGGCGGCGCAGCGGCCACGTACACGAGCGTGGTCGACTCAGGGGCTCGAACTCGGGGTCGATGTCGATCGGGGGTTCGGCCATGGTGAAGAGAGAGAGGGAGGGACACAAGGGGGGTTCGTGAGGACCCCGTTGAGTCCCCCCCGAGTGGTCACACCGAAGTCCCCGCGGCGGTGCGAGGCGAGGATCAGCCGCTCCCCGCGGCTCCCATTGGGCCCCCGAGCGAGGCGACTCCGCCCAGGATGGGAGAGCGGAGTGGGACACGGGCGGAGAGACGGGACACGGGCGGAGAGAGACCTTGAGAGACACGGAGACTCCGAGAGAGACACGGAGACACGGGACTCTGAGAGAGAGAGACACGCAGGCACGGGGAGATGATACTCTTGAGAGACACGCGCAGAAACACGAGGCAGAGAGAGACGCGGAGGAGACACGAAGACGAACCCGGAGATACAGAAACGAGGCTGCGAGAGAGAGAGAGGGACTCGGAGAGACACGGACACAGGCTGGACGCGAGAACACAGCGAGAGAGAGAGACAGAGATTCAGAGACAAACAGAGATCCCCCGGCCACCCCCACTGATCCCCCCACCCCGACCTCCCCCCGGCCACGACGGGTCCCGTAAACACGAACCGAGTTGCGACACGCGGCCCCCTCCACGCGGGGTGGCCGCCTCCCCCCCTCCTCCTCCCCCCCCGTGTTTACCATCATAACCAACACCAGCAGCACCATCACCATCACTGCCAACACCATCACCAACAACACCACCACTGCCAACACCATCACCAACAACACGAAATAAAAATATAAAGATCCCCATGTAGCCTTAACAGGCTGTTGGGGCAAGTGCTGTTCGCGAGCTCCTATGAAGGCCGGCACGGCACACGAGGGGGTGGATGACAAGCACCACGCCCGGCCGCCTTTGTTACACACCGCACCAGGTATTCATTTGAGGCCGAGTCGACCTAGGGGAGGCCCAGGACCGGTTCAAGTATTCGTCACTGTTATTGGTCGTGAGCGGGAATCGAACTTGGGACGCCGGGTTCGTGGCGCAGTGCGCCAACCACGATACTACTGCTGCCATCATTATCACCACAAACACCACCATCATCATCACCACCACCATCATCATCACCACAAACACCACCACCATCATCATCACCACCACCATCATCATCACCACAAACACCACCACCACCATCATCACCACCACCATTATCATCATCACCACCACCATTACCATCACCACCCACACCACCACCATCACCACCACCGACACCACCCCCATCATCACCATCATCACCACCACCATCACCACCAACACCACCACTTTCACCACCAACACCACCACCATCATCACCACCACCACCACCATCATCACCACCATTATCATCACCACCGACCCCACCATCATCACCACCACCATCATCACCACCGACACCACCACCATTATCACCACCCACACCACCATCACCACCACCGACACCACCATCATCATCACCACCGACACCACCACCACCATCATCACCACCACCACTGACACCACCACCGACACCACCACCACCGACACCATCACCACCACCATCATCACCACCGACACCACCCACACCGCCATGATCACCACCCACACCACCACCATCATCACCACCGCTAATTGGTAAACAGCGCGAGAGGCAAACCACGTGGCGGGTGGGGGGTGGGGGGAGGCCCCCCTGCCTCTCCTTCCCTCCCCCCGCAGTCACAACGTGTTGTTTGTAAGTGGCTTCACAAACACCCCACCCACACTGCTGCCCCATTTGTATTGCCCCCACCAGATTGCTGCCCCCCTCTGTACTGCCCCCGCCCCTGCTGCCCCCCCCCACAATGCTGCCCTCCTCAGCACTGCCCCCCCACACTGCTGCCCCCCCCCCACACACTGCGCCCCCCTCTGAAATGCCCCCCCTCACACTGCTGCCCCTCTCAGTACTTCCCCCCTCACACTGCTGCCCCCTCTGTACTGCCCCCCCCCCTACTACTGCCCTTTGCCCATCACCGTCACCGTCACGAGTCGAGGCAGAGCTGAGCTCCGTGTCACCCAGCACCGGTTCAAGCGAGAACCGGTTTCGGCTTTCTGGGTCTCATCATCATCACTAATCTAGCCAGCTGCATCTCTCTGTCTGGCAAGTCTGACTCTACTGCTGATGAGACCCAGAACAGTCGAAACCTCGTGTTAAACACTTGCCGCCGCGTTACTAATTGTGTTGGCAAGCGCGCTCCATCCCACACGCGATGGGAACCCACGGCTCAACGCAACTCGCACTCCGTGTGGGTCACTTAAGAGCGCAGTTAAGTGGCGTGGGGCGTGAATTGTCATCAGCCGTGCTCTATCCACTGCTGGATGAAAGCCTCCAAAAGCCGTCTCCCACAGTCCACGCGAGCTGTCTTGTTTTACTGCTCCATCTCCACAGTGTTTTGTGCTCTCGGACACGTAGCAAATAGAATAGTAACAATCACAACGATCGTCAGTCATCAGCAGTGATCATCAATCTTCGGTGAAAACAACTTAGCACCTGCACACGAGCTACATTCCATCGCTCCATCTCCTGTCGGGGGCGTTCCGTTCCTTGGTTTGCCGCTCCGCGATGATTCTCCACCGCGAGCACGTGAGTGCTGCCTTCGTGCCGGCACGGTGCGGAAAACTGGAGTCATCATTTTCCGACCGAAAAGTCCGGAAACTGGGCAGTGAGCGAGCGGAAGCTGAAGCTTTCCGGCTCGTGTCCGCCTGCCCAGACTGGGTGGTGTGAGGAGCGGTGGCGCAACGGTTAGCGCGCCGCGCTCACGAATACCGGTCACCCGAATTCGATTCCCCCGCTCACGGCCACCCCAACACCGGTGACGATCGACTGAACAAGTCCTGCACCTCTCCCCATCCCCCCCCCCCCCAATCCGCGGCCGCCTAGGTCCACTCGGCCTCAAATGAGAAGCTGGTGCGGTGCGTCAAACATCGACGCTGGGGAGGCAAAGGCGGCCGGGCGTGGTGCTGGCAAACCCCACCCCCTCGTGGGCCACGGTGCCGGCCTTCACGACAGCGCTTGCAGCACGCGCCTGTCAAGGCGATACGGGGTGGGGGCGTCTTTGTGCGTGCGTGCGCCTGCTGTGTAAAGTCTGTGGTTAATTAATGCATTAATGCCACCGCCGTTGGCTCTATCAACAATCCGGATTGCTGCAATTCTCGCTCACGGCTAACATCAGTGGCGAATATGCCAATGGGTTTTTGCGGGGCTTCCTCTAAGTCGACACAGCCCTAAATGACCCCCCAGGTGCAGTGTGTCTTCATCCACACCCCCTGGGGAGACAAATGCGGCCGGCCGGGGGTGGTGTTAGCCACCTCCATGCACCGCGTGTGCCGTGCTGCTCTTCATTGCGTGCTCGCTCGCAGCACTTGCGCCTACAGCCTGTGAGGGCGACGCCGGCGGTACGGGGGGGGGGGTGTCCTTGTTTTGGTGATGGTGGCGGTGATCATGCGATCCAGCCCGGGGTTGGTGGATCACACAGAGATTTTGTGAAACTCAAAAGCCCCTTGGTGTGTGTGTGAGGTGGTGGCAATATACAGGTGGCAGTACAGTAAGTGGGTTCACGAACCCGTCGATGTAGCGGAACGTCAAGTGTCTCCCCCCTCGTGAGCAGCGGCGGTGGCGCGGGGAGTTCTCCGGTGTCTTCTCTGAACCTGAACCAAACTCTCAGTGCTGACGAGATTCAAGGCCAAACATCTCCGTGTGTCAGGACCCTCCTGCTGGGAGCGAGTCTAGAGACTCGGCGAGGTGTTCCTGTCTTAAGAGACACGCAGACTCACGCAGACACCCAGAGTCTGACACAGTGACCTACAGACTCATTTAGAGATCCATGGATTTAAATAGACCCACAGACACGTAGCGACCCATGGGTTATATAGATGCACACAGACTCCCATAGTGACACCTGGATTACATATCAACCAATGGATTTCCACAGACCCATAGACTCACATCGAGATCCATAGCCTCACATACTAACCCATGGATTTATATAGAGACCCATGCATTTCCATAGACATGGATTTAGATATCGACTCATTGGCCCACACGGAGATGGAAGGATTGCAAAGAAACCGATAGAATTGAAGATATCTAAATTTACATAGAGACCCGATGACTCACACAGAGACCCACAGACCTCGCACGAAGATAAACTCTGAGTCATGAATTAGGCGACTCATAGACTCACAAAGAGACGCGTAGACGTCCATAGAAACCGATGGGGGTTTACTTCGAGCCCCATTGGTGTACAACAGCGTGACGCGGAGGTTACGCAGACACGACACAAAGACTCGCATGGACTCACCACGAAGTCAAAAGAAAACCTCACGAATGGGATTCGTGGCCAAACAACCCCCCGCGTCGCATCAGCCCCTCCTGGGGGCGAGTCAATGTGCGAAGCCCGCGACCACGACCCGCTTCGCGACTCTTTAGTTTACTCCTTGGCGGTTGTGGCGCCTCTCTCGTGGCTGCTGGTGAACTGGCAGATTGTGTATCGGCAAGGACAGGTTTCAAATGTTGGTGTCTCATCAGCAATTCTGCTGAAATCACGCGGCTGATGGGGAAGTGTGCGAAATTACGTTTAATTATTTGCGTGCAGGGTAACAGATTCGCGAAGGAATCTCAATTGTCGGCTTACTGCGAGTCTCGGCACTCGTTGCCAAGGAGGGTGCTGCCACGAGTCTGCGATGCTGCCTCTCGAGGAAGAGAGAGAGGGGGGAGGTGGGGGGGAGGTGGGGGGGGGGGGCATCGGGATGAGTCGAACCCAGGGGACCCAGCTCAGGGGGGTTCGGGCACGCGACGGCCTCTTCCCCGCTGCGTGCAGCGAGATCGCGGGAATTTCTCACGGGCCCGAAAATTTAGGGGGGGGGGGGGGGGGTTATCGGGGTGAGCGGGGGACGAGCAACTGGGTTTGAACTCTGAGCACGTGGGGTGTGTGGAGGCCGGGAGAGGAGACGAGTCCCTGGAGCTGTCGATCGGCGCTGGGGAACCGTGCGAGCAGGACCCACGGGTCGCCGGCAGAAGAGGCCTGCTGGGCTGATGGGATGTGTCAACGGAATACTAACGACTTGTGTGTCGCAGGTGGAGGCAGAATTGAGACATTGCCCGAGCACTCGACGCCTGAGTCGGAGAGGTTCGCACGGCGCCTGTGAAGTGGTGAGAGCGGAGAGCGTTGGCGAGTTAGAGTACTAGTGGCGAGTTAGTAGGGCGAGTACTACTGGCTAGTTAGTAGGGCTAGTACTAGTGGCGAGTTAGTAGGGCGAGTACTACTGGCTAGTTAGTAGGACTAGTGGCTAGTTAGTAGGGATAGTACTAGTGGCTAGTTAGTAGGGCGAGTACTAGTGGCGAGTTAGTAGGGCGAGTACTACTGGCTAGTTAGTAGGGCTAGTACTAGTGGCGAGTTAGTAGGCGAGTACTACTGGCTAGTTAGTAGGACTAGTGGCTAGTTAGTAGGACTAGTGGCTAGTTAGTAGGGCGAGTACTAGTGGCGAGTTAGTAGGACTAGTGGCTAGTTAGTAGGGATAGTACTAGTGGCTAGTTAGTAGGGCTAGTACTAGTGGCTAGTTAGTAGGGCTAGTGGCTAGTTAGTAGGGCTAGTACTAGTGGCTAGTTAGTAGGGCTAGTGGCTAGTTAGTAGGGCTAGTACTAGTGGCGAGTTAGTAGGGCTAGTACTAGTGGCTAGTTAGTAGGGCTAGTACTACTGGCTAGTTAGTAGGACTAGTACTAGTGGCTAGTTAGTAGGGCTAGTGGCTAGTTAGTAGGGCTAGTACTAGTGGCGAGTTAGTAGGGCTAGTACTAGTGGCTAGTTAGTAGGGCTAATACTAGTGGCTAGTTAGTAGGGCTAGTACTACTGGCTAGGGCTAGTGACTAGTTAGTAGGGCTAGTACTAGTGGCGAGTTAGTAGGGCTAGTACTAGTGGCTAGTTAGTAGGGCTAGTACTAGTGGCTGGTTAGTAGGGCGAGTACTAGTGGCTAGTTAGTAGGGCTAGTACTAGTGGCTAGTTAGTAGGGCGAGTACTAGTGGCTAGTTAGTAGGGCGAGTACTACTGGCTAGTTAGTAGGGCGAGTACTAGTGGCTAGTTAGTAGGGCGAGTACTACTGGCTAGTTAGTAGGGCGAGTACTAGTGGCGAGTTAGTAGGGCGAGTACTAGTGGCTAGTTAGTAGGGCGAGTACTAGTGGCTAGTTAGTAGGGCGAGTACTAGTGGCTAGTTAGTAGGGCGAGTACTACTGGCTAGTTAGTAGTGCGAGTACTAGTGGATAGTTAGTAGGGCGAGTACTAGTGGCTAGTTAGTAGGGCGAGTACTAGTGGCTAGTTATTAGGGCGAGTACTAGTGGCTAGTTAGTAGTGCGAGTACTAGTGGCTAGTTAGTAGTGCGAGTACTAGTGGATAGTTATTAGGGCGAGTACTAGTGGCTAGTTAGTAGTGCGAGTACTAGTGGCTAGTTATTAGGGCGAGTACTAGTGGCGAGTTAGTAGGGCGAGTACTAGTGGCTAGTTAGTAGTGCGAGTACTAGTGGATAGTTATTAGGGCGAGTACTAGTGGCTAGTTAGTAGGGCGAGTACTACTGGCTTGTGAGGGCCAGCTCGTCCCGTCTGTGACCTCTACCTGTGTATTTTTAACTCTCTGATGCCCCAAAACCTTTGACCCTCCTGGCCCCCCCCCCCTTGAAGCTTTGAACCCCCCCACTCCCCCCGCCCCGCGCGACCATCCCTATCGCCTCGCGCGTAACGAGGCCGCGCGTGCGACTCAATTCCCTTAAGGAACTCTGAAGCGAGCAGTGGACCACGTTGTGCCCGCGGTACATTTGCGCCCCAGGGATCGGGTGCCAGGAGTTGGTGATGGTGGGTTCAGCTCTTCCCCCACCCTCCCCCAGGCCCCCACCCTCCCTCCCCCAGGCCCCCACCCTCCCTCCCCCAGGCCCCCACCCTCCCTCCCCCAGGCCCCCACCCTCCCTCCCCCAGGCCCCCACCCTCCCTCCCACAGGCCCCCACCCTCCCTCCCACAGGCCCCCACCCTCCCTCCCACAGGCCCCCACCCTCCCTCCCACAGGCCCCCACCATCCCTCCCACAGGCCCCCACCATCCCTCCCACAGGCCCCTATCCTCCCTCCCCCAGGCCCCCACCCTCCCCAGGCCCCCACCCTACCCCCTACCCCAGGCCCCCACCCTCCCTCCTACAGGCCCCCACCTTCCCTCCTACAGGCCCCCACCCTCCCTCCCCCAGGCCCCCACCCTCCCTCCCCCAGGCCCCCACCCTCCCTCCTACAGGCCCCCACCCTCCCTCCTACAGGCCCCCACCCTTCCACCCCTTCCCGGGGTCCCTGCCCTTGTTTACAGCCCCGGCGTGAAGGGCGGACCCCGTCTCCGCCAATCACTGGCGGACCCGCCCCTCCCCCACAGCCCCGCCCCTTCCCCCACAGCCCCGCCCCTCCCCACAGCCATGGGAACACAATTGCCTCGCGTCAAGGTGCAACGGAGCCTCTGGAGCTCTCTGGAGTCCCTTGCGGTTCCCAGAACCCACGAAGGTCTCTGGAGCCCCTTGGGGTCCTTGGGAGGTCTCTGGAGCCCCTTGGGGGTCTCTGGAGCCCCTTGGGATTCATGGGGATCCCAGACCTGAGAACTCTTGTAGGTCTCTGGAGATCCCAGACCCGAGAGCTCTTGTAGGTCTCTGGAGATCCCACACCTCTTGTAGGTCTCTGGAGATCCCAGACATGAGACCACTTGTAGGTCTCTGGGGATCCCAGACCTTAGAGCTCTTGTAGGTCTCTGGAGATCCCAGACCTCTTGTAGGTCTCTGGGGATCCCAGACATGAGACCACTTGTAGGTCTCTGGAGATCCCAGACCTTAGAGCTCTTGTAGGTCTCTGGGGATCCCAGACCTCTTGTAGGTCTCTGGGGATCCCAGACATGAGACCACTTGTAGGTCTCTGGAGATCCCAGACCTTAGAGCTCTTGTAGGTCTCTGGGGATCCCAGACATGAGACCACTTGTAGGTCTATGGGGATCCCAGACCTTAGAGCTCTTGTAGGTCTCTGGAGATCCCAGACCTCTTGTAGGTCTCTGGGGATCCCAGACATGAGACCACTTGTAGGTCTCTGGAGATCCCAGACCTTAGAGCTCTTGTAGGTCTCTGGAGATCCCAGACCTCTTGTAGGTCTCTGGAGATCCCAGACATGAGACCTCTTGTAGGTCTCTGGAGATCCCAGACCTTAGATCTCTTGTAGGTCTCTGGAGATCCCAGACCTCTTGTAGGTCTCTGGAGATCCCAGACATGAGACCACTTGTAGGTCTCTGGAGATCCCAGACCTTAGAGCTCTTGTAGGTCTCTGGAGATCCCAGACCTCTTGTAGGTCTCTGGGGATCCCAGATATGAGACCTCTTGTAGGTCTCTGGGGATCCCAGACCTCTTGTAGGTCTCTCGAGGTCCCATGACTCTTGTAGGTCTCTGGGGATCCCAGACCTGAGAGCTCTTGTAGGTCTCTGGGGATCCCAGACCTTAGAGCTCTTGTCTCTGAAACCCCTGCAGGTTCCTGGAGGTCTCTGAAGCCCATGAAGGTCGCCGGAGGTCCCTGGAGCTCCCTGAAGATCCCTAAAGCCCATTCGAGTCACTTGAGATCCTGGAGGCTGTCAAGGTACCTGAATAATTATTGAACCTCCTGAGGTCTGTGGAGCCCATGGACGTTCCGTTGAGGTCCCTGAAGCCCCTTGAACCCCTGGGAAGCGTGGCACAGCCGGGGATTAATGGACCCCTCCCCATCCACCAGCCCCTCTGGGAGGTCCGTCTCAGGATCACGGGAAGAGCCCCGAGTGACCCCTGGTGGACAGAGACGGGAGCGGTCGGAGTGACCAGGTTTCTCAGTGGGAACTGCTCGCTCACCATCCACCACCCGTGGGCTATCCACTGCTGGATAAAGTACTTTTGCATTAACACCATCATCACCCATGGTCTATCCACTGCTTAAGCAGTTTAACATTACTACCATCATCCGTGGTCTATAACTGCTGGATAAAGTCCTTTAGCATTACAACCACGACGGTCAACGACAGCGGTTAAACACCGGTCAACCACTGCGGTCCCCCACGAGGGTCAACCACTGCAGTCCACCACGAGGGTCAATCATGGAGGTCAACCACGGGGGTCAACCACGGCAGAGAGAGGACGGGAGAGTGCATCGCCCAACGCGTTCCTCAGTAACCCACCATGTTAAAAACGGCGACGTTTCGGGAAAATGGCCTTTCGTGATGGCACATGGAGGCGGAGTGGAGACACGGGCGTGGATACCGGCTGGGGACCACGCGAGACGCCGCACACACCACGGGGGGCGCCAACGCACTGCCAGCAAATAATAGTTTTAATTGCGAGGACGCGCGGACAGCTATAATTTACAAAGTTGTGCACTTGAAATACATTCAGTCGACCTCCGCGCGAACGCCGAGCTCGGAAATGTTCGACCTCGTGACGAAAATTCGGAACCGAGGCGAGAAGCGTGCCGGGCCCGGCGGCCAAGCCGCACGGCCCCGGGGCCCGGAGGGGTCCCTCACGATCCGTCGCGTGGCGCCGTGGGCTACGTGGCGACGGGGGTCTCAAGTCAGACGGCCGGGGGGTCGTAGCGAGATCGTGACTCGTGTCGCTCGCGTAAGAGCCAATCGGCTGTCAGGGAAGACCCCCCCCTTTCCCCCCGTGCAGTATGGCCGGCGTGACACCATCACTCCGTGTGTGCACTGCTATTGTTGTTGTTGTCACAGGAGAAGCCCTCTTCACGAGCTCCTGTTAACGACGAATCGCTTAACGACAGCCTCGAGAGAGCCAAATGTGTTCGACCATTCCCCTATTAACGACGGGCTGTTGTAGGTAGGTCAATATTAATGAATGCGTTGATTAACCATGTTTCTTTTAATGTGTTTATATTGTTACATTTTTACGTAAAACTTTCGTGACTGCAGGAATTCATATTCTTTGGTTCTTTTGGTAAAGTCACGTAGGTAGAAAATATTAATTAGAAAATGTGAATAAAAATTAAATAGAATTAGATTTTTATTCACTTATTTAATTAATATCTACTTTACCGAAAAAAAACAAAGAATATGTTTATATTGTTGTTAGTATCTTTACGTATTAATATCCATTGTTTAAATATTATAAAGTAAGTTTTTTGGGTGATTAAATGGTAACTTTCGATGCTATTGGAACGAATGAAACCTCTCACGTGCATTTCCTAGACGAGCTTAACGACCAAATCCCTTAGCGAGCGGTTTTGTCGCACCAATGAGCGTCGAGAGGTTCCGCTGCATTAATGTGGTTGTTGCCAATGACTTTTGTGATTAATTATGAAATGCAATTACCGGTTACGATGGGGTCACGGCCGGTCCTCGTAAACTCCACGACGCCTACAACGTCCGTAACTTATCGTATTCGCCCGGAGCTACGACAAATCTCAACTCCGACAAAACTTACGACATTAGAACGCCGCCGTGTACCAACTCTTTCCGTACCCTTGTCCCTGCCGAGGTATCCTCTCACCCACGCCTCACCTTCTTACCAATTCCAGCGAAGCTAGCTTATGAATATGGAAATGTTGGGGATCTTTAAATAGTCAGATATACGCAGAGCCGGCACCGCTGAGATGCTGGGATCCGGTCCGGATTTCCGTTTGCACAGCCACAGTGGATACATCGTGTGTTGATGGGCTCAGCCTGGTCAGCAATGACTTGCATAGATTCACATAGGGATCCATAGACTTGCATAGAGACCCGTAGACTCACACGTAGACCGAGTTGTCATTAAAAAGGCTGCTCAAGCGTTGTGAGTTGATGGTCTTGGCCCGCTCACCGTTGGCTGGAAACAATAACTATGATAATTGTATGCAGTTCGATTTTTCACTCAAGTTGGTTAAATTCCAGATCTGAAAATCATAACTAAAACATCGGTTCGATCACTTGAAACGGGCTACACTCTCCCGAGTCAAACACTACACGGCCTGACTGCAGCAGCGCGCACGAGCGTCGTGCTGCAGGGCGGGGGAGAGCGCTGCCCCCCCCCCCCCCCCAGAGGTCACTGCTTGACAGGATCTCGGATGTAGTTATGCAATGACCCCTTCCGCGGGCCGGTGGCAAGTAAGAGCCCGACGTCTCGTGACGCCCCGAGAAGATCTGAAGTCACAAAAACTAAGATTGGAATCGCGTGCGGGTCCCACAAAGGGGACGGTGAATTCAAGTCTAAACTTGTTCCACAAACCCCCCCCCCCCAACACCGTGGCTCTTCACCACCCAGCGCACCGTGCCACCCCCCGCCCCCCGCCCACACTCCACCTTCCCCTCCATGCGAGTCGCTCTCCTAGGTGCTTGGCCAAGGGGTTCCGTAAAGGGGGCTCGCTGAGATGGCTCCCCACAGAGAGGGGGCTGGGAGCCGGTCTCAGCTGTGCCCCATACCGGCGGTGGCGGTGTCTGTATTGGTGGTGGCGGTGGTGGTGTCTGTAATGGTGGTGGTGGTGATTTTGGCACCGGTGGTGGTGGTGCGGTTGTCTGTAATGGTGTTGGCACTGGTGGTGGTGGTGGCACTGGTGGTGGTGTTGGCACTGGTGGTGGTGTTGGCGGCTCCACTCCAGTAGGCGTGGGTGTGCATCTCCGTGAGACGCGAGGTGGTTCGTGCAAATGCAAATGTCTCCTCTTGCCCCCCAAACACGGAGAGAGACGCCGCAGAGGCCTACGAGGGGGGGCAGGGGGAACGCACGCGTGTTGGCAGTTACACGTACGCACAGGTACGCACACACGCAAACACACACAAGTATACACACACGTGGGCCGGTTAAAGTATTCGTTACGAGTGTTGGCCGTGGGCGGGAATCGAACCCGGTTAGCCGGGTCCGTAGTGCATTGCGCTAACTGCTGCACTACTGCTTCACACACACAAAGACAAAGATGCCCCAGTATAGCCTTAACAGACTTTAGGGTTAAATGCTGTTAGCGAGCAAACATCCAATAACAACAACAACTGCCATTCGCCACTAAGTGGCGGTGACGTCACCACAGCGCTTGTGCCAGGCTATGTGCATGTTAAGGCCACGTGAATAATGCACCACCTGTGCCCCCTACTGTACCAACTTGCTGTGTTTTAGCCACCTGGCGCTCTGCTCGTTGTTGTGAGTGTCGCTCTTCTAACCTCAGTTGTTGTTGAGCCTCCTCCATAGAGGCCGATCTTGACATCGCTGGTAGCAGTCAGTGGCAAGTCCACTCAGCTCCACATCCTCCTGTACCACATCACTCCATCTCTTCTCTAGCCTGCGCCATGCCCATTTAGCCCCCTCTATCCGGCCGAACAAAAGCTGTTTAGGCATGCGGTGGCTGGGCATTCGGGCTACATGACCTAACCTCTACACACACGCACGTGCACCACCCCCTCACCTCAGCGATGCCCAGCTCATCCATGAGCTCACGATCCATCGATGCGTCCGGCTCACTTGCAAATAGCAGCGACAGCGGCACCTCGGCCGAGATCACCACGCGCACCTACACACGAACCCACGTGTACACACACGGACAAACAGAGACAAAGATCTCCCATATAGCCTTTAACAGACTGTTGGGGAAAGTGTTGTTAGCGAGCACCTATGAAGACCAGAACGGAGACGTGGAGGAGAGACCGTGGCATCGTACAGCACACGCCTGTGCAAGTGGTGTAGCGGTGGTGTAGCGGTGTAGTGGTGGTGTAGTGGTGGTGTGGCGGTGGTGTCGCGGTGGTGTAGTGGTGGTGTAGTGGTGGTGTAGTGGTTAGTGGTGGTGTAGTGGTGGTGTAGTGGTGGTGTAGTGGTGGTGTAGTGGTGTAGCGGTGGTGTGGCGGTGGTGTCGTGATGGTGTAGTGGTGGTCTAGTGGTGGTGTAGCGGTGGTGTCGTGATGGTGTAGCGGTGGTGTAGCGGTGGTGTCGTGGTGGTGTCGTGGTGGTGTAGTGGTGGTGTAGTGGTGGTGTCGTGATGGTGTAGTGGTGGTGTAGCAGTGGTGTAGTGGTGGTGTAGCGGTGGTGTAGCGGTGGTGTAGTGGTGGTGTCGTGATGGTGTAGTGGTGGTGTAGTGGTGGTGTAGTAGTGGTGTAGCGGTGGTGTAGTGGTGGTGTAGCGGTGGTGTGGCGGTGGTGTAGTGGTGGTGTAGTAGTGGTGCTGCGGTGGTGTAGTGGTGGTGTAGTGGTGGTGTAGCGGTGGTGTGGCAGTGGTGTGGCGGTGGTGTAGCAGTGGTGTACTGGTGGTGTAGCGGTGGTGTAGCGGTGGTGAAGCGGTAGTGTGGTGGTGGTGTGGCGGTGGTGTAGAGGTCTAGTGGTGGTGTAGCGGTGGTGCTGTGGTGGTGTAGTGGTGGTGTAGTGGTGGTGCTGTGGTGGTGCTGTGGTGGTGTAGTGGTGGTGTAGCGGTGGTGTAGTAGTGGTGTAGTGGTGGTGTAGTGGTGGTGCTGTGGTGGTGTAGTGGTGGTGTAGTGGTGGTGTAGTGGTGGTGCAGTGGTGGTGTAGTGGTGGTGTAGTGGTGGTGTAGCGGTGGTGTAGTGGTGGTGTAGTGGTGGTGTAGTGGTGGTGCTGTGGTGGTGTAGTGGTGGTGTAGTGGTGGTGTAGTGGTGGGGTAGTGGTGGTGCTGTGGTGGTGCTGTGGTGGTGTAGTGGTGATGTGGCCGTGGTGCTGTGGTGGTGTAGTGGTGGTGTAGCGGTGGTGTAGTGGTGGTGTGGCGGTGGTTTGGTGGTGTAGTGGTGGTGTAGTGGTGGTGTCGTGATGGTGTAGCGGTGGTGTAGCGGTGGTGCAGTGTAGTGGTGGTGTAGCGGTGGTGTAGCGGCGGTGGTGTGGTGGTGTAGTGGTGGTGTAGTGGTGGTGTAGTGGTGGTGCTGTGGTGGTGCTGTGGTGGTGCTGTGGTGGTGTAGTGGTGGGGTAGCCGTGGTGTGGCGGTGGTGTGGCGGTGGTGTGGCGGTGTAGTGGCGTAGTAGTGGTGTAGTGGTGGTGTGGTGGTGTAGAGGTGGTCTAGCGGTGGTGTCGTGATGGTGTAGTAGTGGTGTAGTGGTGGTGTCGTGATGGTGTAGCGGTGGTGTAGCGGTGGTGTAGTGGTGGTGTAGTGGTGGTGTCGTGATGGTGTAGTGGTGGTGTAGCAGTGGTGTAGTGGTGGTGTAGCGGTGGTGTAGCGGTGGTGTAGTGGTGGTGTCGTGATGGTGTAGTGGTGGTGTGGCGGTGGTGTAGCGGTGGTGCTGTGGTGGTGCTGTGGTGGTGCTGCGGTGGTGTAGTGATGGTGTAGCGGTGGTGTGGCAGTGGTGTGGCGGTGGTGTAGCAGTGGTGTACTGGTGGTGTAGCGGTGGTGTAGCGGTGGTGAAGCGGTAGTGTGGTGGTGGTGTGGCGGTGGTGTAGAGGTCTAGTGGTGGTGTAGCGGTGGTGCTGTGGTGGTGTAGTGGTGGTGTAGTGGTGGTGCTGTGGTGGTGCTGTGGTGGTGTAGTGGTGGTGTAGCGGTGGTGTAGTAGTGGTGTAGTGGTGGTGTAGTGGTGGTGCTGTGGTGGTGTAGTGGTGGTGTAGTGGTGGTGTGGCCGTGGTGCTGTGGTGGTGTAGTGGTGGTGTAGCGGTGGTGTAGCGGTGGTGTGGTGGTGGTTTGGTGGTGTAGTGGTGGTGTAGTGGTGGTGTGGCCGTGGTGCTGTGGTGGTGTAGTGGTGGTGTAGCGGTGGTGTAGTGGTGGTGTGGCGGTGGTTTGGTGGTGTAGTGGTGGTGTAGTGGTGGTGTCGTGATGGTGTAGCGGTGGTGTAGCGGTGGTGTAGTGTAGTGGTGGTGTAGCGGTGGTGTAGTGGCGGTGGTGTGGTGGTGTAGTGGCGGTGGTGTGGTGGTGTAGTGGCGGTGGTGTGGTGGTGTGGCGGTGGTGTAGCGGTGGTGTAGTGGCGGTGGTGTGGTGGTGTAGTGGCGGTGGTGTGGTGGTGTAGTGGTGGTGTAGCGGTGGTGTGGCGGTGGTGTGGCGGTGGTGTGGCGGTGTGGTGGTGCTGTGGTGGTGTAGTGGTGGTGTAGTAGTGGTGTAGCGGTGGTGTAGTAGTGGTGTAGTGGTGGTGTAGCGGTGGTGTAGTAGTGGTGTAGCGGTGGTGTAGTAGTGGTGTAGTGGTGGTGTAGCGGTGGTGTAGTGGTGGTGTGGCCGTGGTGCTGTGGTGGTGTAGCGGTGGTGTAGTGGTGGTGTGGCCGTGGTGCTGTGGTGGTGTAGTGGTGGTGTAGCGGTGGTGTAGCGGTGGTGTGGCGGTGGTGTAGTGGTGTAGTGGTGGTGTGGCGGTGGTGTAGTGGTGGTGTAGTGGTGGTGTGGCCGTGGTGCTGTGGTGGTGTAGTGGTGGTGTAGCGGTGGTGTAGCGGTGGTGTGGCGGTGGTGTAGTGGTGTAGCGGTGGTGTAGTGGTGGTGTGGCGGTGGTGTAGTGGTGGTGTAGTGGTGGTGTCGTGATGGTGTAGTGGTGGTGTAGTGGTGGTGTAGTGGCGGTGGTGTGGCAGTGTAGTGGTGGTGTAGTGGTGGTGTCATGATGGTGTAGTGGTGGTGTAGCGGTGGTGTAGTGGTGGTGTCGTGATGGTGTAGTGGTGGTGTAGCGGTGGTGTAGTGGCGGTGGTGTGGTGGTGTAGTGGTGGTGTAGTGGTGGTGTAGTGGCGGTGGTGTGGTGGTGTAGTGGTAGTGTAGTGGTGGTGTCGTTATGTTGTAGTGGTGGTGTAGCAGTGGTGTAGTGGTGGTGTCGTGATGGTGTAGTGGTGGTGTAGCGGTGGTGTAGTGGTGGTGTAGTGGTGGTGTCGTGATGGTGTAGTGGTGGTGTAGTGGTGGTACTGTGGTGGAGTAGTGGTGGTGTAGTGGTGGTGCTGTGGTGGTGCTGTGGTGGTGCTGTGGTGGTGCTGTGGTGGTGCTGTGATGGTGTAGTGGTGGTGTAGCGGTGGTGTAGCAGTGGTGTACTGGTGGTGTAGCGGTGGTGTAGCGGTGGTGTGGTGGTGGTGTGGCGGTGGTGTAGCGGTGGTGTACTGGTGGTGTAGCAGTGGTGAAGCGGTAGTGTGGTGGTGGTGTGGCGGTGGTGTAGAGGTCTAGTGGTGGTGTAGCGGTGGTGCTGTGGTGGAGTAGTGGTGGTGTAGTGGTGGTCCTGTGGTGGTGTAGTGGTGGTGCTGTGGTGGTGTAGTGGCGGTGGTGTGGTGGTGTAGTGGTGGTGTAGTGGTGGTGTAGTGGTGGTGCTGTGGTGGTGTAGTGGCGGTGGTGTGGCGGTGTAGTGGTGGTGCTGTGGTGGAGTAGTGGTGGTGTAGTGGCGGTCCTGTGGTGGTGTAGTGGTGGTGCTGTGGTGGTGTAGTGGTGGTGTAGTGGTGGCGTAGTGGTGGTGCTGTGGTGGTGCTGTGGTGGTGCTGTGGTGGTGTAGTGGTGGTGTAGCGGTGGTGTAGTGGTGGTGTAGCGGTGGTGTAGCGGTGGTGTGGCGGTGGTGTAGTGGTGGTGTAGCGGTGGTGTAGTGGTGGTGTAGCGGTGGTGTAGTGGTGGTGTAGCGGTGGTGGTGTGGTGGTGTAGTGGTGGTGTGGCGGTGGTGTGGTGGTGTAGCGGTGGTGTAGTGGTGGTGTAGCGATGGTGTAGTGGTGGTGTAGCGGTGGTGTAGTGGTGGTGTAGCGGTGGTGTAGTGGTGGTGTGGCGGTGGTGTGGTGGTGTAGTGGTGGTGTAGTGGTGGTGTAGCGGTGGTGTAGTGGTGGTGTAGCGGTGGTGGTGTGGTGGTGTAGTGGTGGTGTAGCGGTGGTGGTGTGGTGGTGTAGCGGTGGTGTAGTGGTGGTGTAGCGATGGTGTAGCGGTGGTGTAGTGGTGGTGTAGGAGACCTTGGCGTCGTACAGCGTGTCCACGAGGGTGATGAATCGCCGCGCCTGCGTGCGCTGCGCCAGCGCGAGTCGCGGGACGCGCCGCACGAACACCGTGCGGAAGTGGCGACACAGCTCCAGGTAATCGCTCGCTCCCAGGGGCTGAGACGGGGACACACGCCAGGGCACTCACCACTCGCTCGCTCACTCACACTCACTCGCTCGCTCGCTCACTCACTCACACTCACTCGCTCACTCACACTCACTCGCTCACTCACACTCACTCGCTCACTCACACTCACTCGCTCGCTCACTCACACTCACTCGCTCGCTCACTCACACTCACTCGCTCGCTCACTCACACTCACTCACACTCACTCACCACTCGCTCACTCACACTCAGTCGCTCGCTCACCACTCGCTCGCTCACCACTCGCTCGCTCACTCACTCACTCAAGGGGCACTTACCACTCACTCACCACTCACTCACCACTCACAGGGCACTCACCACTTGCTCGCTCACTCACCCACTCACCCACTCACTCACAGGGCACTCACCACTCACCACTCACTTACCACTCACTCACAGGGCACTCACCACTCAGTCACTCACTCACCACTCACTCACCACTCACTCACTCACAGGGCACTCACCACTCACTCACCACTCACTCACCACTCACTCACCACTCACTCACCACTCACTCACTCACAGGGCACTCACCACTCACTCACAGGGCACTCACCACTCACTCACCACTCACTCACTCACAGGGCACTCACCACTCACTCACCATTCACTCACTCACTCACTCACAGGGCACTCACCACTCACTCACCACTCACAGGGCACTCACCACTCACCCACCACTCACCCACCACTCACTCACAGGGCACTCACCACTCACTCACTCACTCACTCACAGGGCACTCACCACTCACCACTCACTCACTCACAGGCACTCACACTCACTCACAGGGCACTCACCACTCACTCACAGGGCACTCACCACTCACAGGGCACTCACCACTCACAGGGCACTCACCACTCACAGGGCACTCACCACTCACAGGGCACTCACCACTCGGTCAATCAATCACGGGGCACTCACCACTCACTCACCACTCACTCACCACTCGGTCAATCAATCACGGGGCACTCACCACTCACTCACTCACAGGGCACTCACCGCTCACCACTCACTCACCACTCACAGGGCACTCACACTCACTCACTCACTCACCACTCACTCACCACTCACAGGGCACTCACCACTCACTCACCACTCACCCACCACTCGGTCAATCAATCACGGGGCACTCACCACTCACTCACCACTCACAGGGCACTCACCGCTCACCACTCACTCACCACTCACAGGGCACTCACCACTCACTCACCACTCACTCACCACTCACAGGCCACTCAACACTTGCTCACTCGCTCGCTCGCTCACTCACCACTCGGTCAATCAATCACAGGGCACTCACCGCTCACTCACCGCTCACTCACCGCTCACTCACCGCTCACTCACCGCTCACTCACCCGGTCGCACAGCTCGGAGAAGGTGCAGTCGGCAACGTCACCGCAAGCGCGTCTCAAGCGCAGCTCCCTGCCGCCCACGCGGAGGAGACGCGGACGCGGGACTGCACACGGCACGTCACGGCGAAACCACGTCAAATATCAATTTTTTTTGTGCAAAATTACGTCACGTGCCCACGCAAATCAGAATAAATCACAGGGAAATCATGAAGATCATGTCAATCATGGCGCACGGCACAAGATACTCCGGCATAATCCCGGCACGACAGCAGAGGTCACGGCACGAGGCGCACGCCGCGGCCGTGCATCGCAGTGGCAAAGGCGGGATTGCATGGGGGGGCGGCGCTCACTGTCGTTCTGCGAGTAGGCGAGCTCGTCGAACAGCGAGTCCAGCCGCTCGTCCGCGTCCGCGTCGCCCGTCCTGCGCGTGGCGAGAGACGCGGCGGTCAGCACGCGGGCGGTGACCGGAGCCGACACGGGCTCCCTTCCAACCCAATACCGGTGAACTGCCGGACGCGTTTATTTGGAAAGCTCGTATAAACGTGGAACACACCGCACGCCGTGCCGTGCGGTGTGCTGCGGCTGGAGGCCTCACAGGAAGTAGAGCTTCCCGGTGGCAGGCTGCCCGTGCTGGCGGTAGTCGATGCCCGAGTCCAGCTGTATGCGCTCACAGTGAGCCTGCGCACGCGCACACAGACATCCCCCGTGTAGCCTCTGACAGGCTTCTTGAGGCAAATGTTGTTCGCGAGCAGCACCTCTGAAGGCCGGGCACGGCGTACGAGGGGTGGTGTGGCCAGGGCCACAGCCGGCCGCCTTTGTCCATGTTTATACACGCACACAGTGCCGGGTATTAATTTAAGGCCGATTCAAACTAGGGGAGGCCCAGGACAGGTTAATTTACTCATCACCGAGGTTAACCGGAGAGCAGTGCGCTAACCACTGTGCCACTGCTCCCCACCACAAACATTAAGCCTGCACACACAACGCACATACAGCCCATGTCAGAGAGTTCACCGAGTCACCCTGTGGAGTTGACCGAGTCACCCTCTGGAGTTGACCGCATCAGAGTCTCTCGGCACGCAGGAGGCCGGCGCTGCCCCTCACCTTGAGGACGCTGATGAAGGGGAGGAAGTTGACCCTCTGCAGGCCGTGCTTGTACAGGTCTGGGACAAACACACGGCGCCAGCTCCAGCAACCACTCCGGGCCGGTGGGACCCCCACCACCACCACCGCTCTCCCCACCACCACCACCACTACCACTCTTCCCACCACCACCACCACCGCTCTCCCCACCACCACCACCACCATCGCTCTCCACCACCACCACCGCTCTCCACCACCACCACCACCGCTCTCCCCACCACCACTACCGCTCTCCCCACCACCAACCACCACCGCTCTCCCCACCACCACCACCACCATCGCTCTCCACCACCACCACCACCGCTTTCCCCACTACCACCGCCTCTCTCCACCACCACCACTACCGCTCTCCCCACCACCAACCACCACCGCTCTCCCCACCACCACCACCACCGCTCTCCCCACCACCAACCACTAGCACCACCACCACCACCACCGCTCTCCCCACCACCACCACCACCACCACCACCGCTCTCCCCACCACCACCGCCACCGCTCTCCCCACCACCACTACCACCGCTCTCCCCACCACCACCACCACCAGCACCACCACTGCTCTCCCCACCACCACCACCACCGCCGCTCTCCCCACTACCGAGTAAATCAGCGAGTGCTGGATCATCCGTCGACCTGACCGTCGATTTACCCCGACCTCTATCCGGTGGTTGAGTGAGGTGGGAGCCGGGTGCTCCACCCCAGTTCTGAGAGCACCAGCAGCAGGAGGAGGATTCCAGCTGTTGCCGAATCTGTACTGCGCGTAGCAGCAGTGATAAGTGCTCGGAGTGAGAGAGGCCTTGGTACGGAGAATAAAAGCAGACTTCTCCATAGCCAGATGAGTGACACCGCCGCTCCACGGCAAGCTCAAAAGAGATTACTGTGCCAAGCCGAGTCGTGGTTTATCTGTTGATAAGACTATCAAAGCATCAGACGATTCAGGAGGAGCTGTGGATTGGCCAGCCCTACGTGGTTATGGTCATCGCTGAATGCGCGCAGAGGTTGTTATGGAGTACGATGCCACGAAGGGCGCCGTCATCTGCCAAGGAAGTGGCTCCCATTGTGAGTGGGAGACGAGTTGGTAATGTATGTATAATTTATTTCGCATCGTACGTAGCCAACTGTGCTAATCGGAGGTGTGGGGGAAGGACAACAAACTAAACACAAAAAGCAGTTCGAAAGAAATTAGTTTTCAACATAGATCATTTAAAGTGCATAGCTCCAGTGGCTTCCTAATATCTGCAGGGAAGAGAGTTACAGACGGCCGTTGAAGCTCATCTGAAAGCACGCGATGCAGTGACCGTCTTTGTTCGATGATAACAAGGCGGAGGAGGAGTAACGTTGGGAGACGACGCAGAGATCTTGCGGAAGGCCAGAGCAAACGGTGAAGGTACCAGCCTGGCCACTGTCTACTGCCACGTCTATAGACCTATCAGTTGTTAGGAAGCTGAAGTTCAGGCTTGCAGATTAGAGATGTTATTGTTGTGCCAAGCAGATGAATGCTTTTATCACAGTAATTACCAACATGTATAAAAGCACACGATGTTTCACGGGCACAAGCGACTGTAACCCTGTGGCGCGGAGCCGAGCTCGGTGTCGCTCAAAAATCGAGCGAGAGAGGTGCAGCCTTCAGGAGAGAGGTGGGGCCTTCAAAAGAGAGGTGGGGCCTTCAAGAGAGAGGTGGGGCCTTCAGGAGAGAGGTGGGGCCTTCAGGAGAGAGGTGGGGCCTTCAGGAGAGAGGTGGGGCCTTCAAGAGAGAGGTGGGGCATTTAAGAGAGAGGTGCGGCCTTCAGGAGAGAGGTGGGGCCTTCAAGAGACAGGTGGGCCTTTAAGAGAGAGGTGGGGCCTTCAAGAGAGGGGTGTGGACTTCAAGAGAGAGGTGGGGCCTTCAGGAGAGGGGTGGGGCTGTTAACAGAAGGGTGGGAGATTTAAAATGTCAGCGTAGATTGAACGCTGCTGCTGCGAATGTGCGGCATGATGGCTGCGTTCCAAACACATTGGTGGTGGGGATGATAGTGGTGGGGATGATAGTGGTGGGGATGATAGTGGTGGTGGGGGTGGTGCCGGTGGTAGTTGTAGCAGAGTGCTCGTGCGCTCGCGGCCGGTGCCGGTGGGGTGTGCGCTACCGTCGGGCGGGCGGTTGGAGGTGGCCACCATCACCACGCCGAGGCGGAACAGGTTCTCAAACAGCTGCTTCAGGATCATGGCGTCCGCAATGTCGGTCACCTGCAGCATAGTGGCAGCCACGTAAGTCTGTGGGTCTCTGTGTGAGACTACGGGTCTCTGTGCGAGTCCCTGGGTCTGTGTGAGTCTACGGGTCTCTGTGTGAGACTATGGGTCTCTGTGCGAGTCCGTGGGCCTGTGTGAGTCCATTGGCCTCTGTGCGAGTCCGTGGGTCTTGGGTGAGACTGCAGGTCTCTGTGCGAGTCCTTGGGTCTCTGGGTGAGACTGCATGTTTCTGTGTGAGTCGTGGGTCTCTGTGAGCTTACGGGTGGTCTGTGCGAGTCTGGAAATATATGAAAAAGCAAGAAGTAGCTTGCAGGAGTATGGAGGAGTCAGGAGAAGTGAGGAGGAGCGTGGAGACGCTGCAAGGAGGAGCAATGAAGGGGTGAGGAGAAGGAGGGGCACCTGAAACTCGTCGAAGCACAGCAGGTGCGTGTCTTGGCTGATGAGCGCCGCCACGGGCGCAATGGGGTCGTACGCAGTCGCCATGCGGCCCACGCGCCGAACTGGCAGAGTGCGCTTCAGCCGGTGTATCCCTGCAATGGGGGTATGGGAGTGGGGGAGTGGGGGGGTGGGGGGGGTGGGGGGGGGGGGGTGGCACGGGGAAATCAGGGGGGAGGCACAGGGACGCGGGGGGACATGGGTAAAGTACACAACAGAAATAGCATTTGCTGCCCTGCCCTCGACTGCTCACAACTCCGACAGGGCCTGCATCACTGTACGTAGCGATTGCCCTTCCATATACTTACTCTGTACCTACACACATGCGGGCAAGTGGAGAGGGGAACCCGAGGAGCGTGCAGGCGAGCGGGGAGAATTCAGGGAGCGTGTGGGTGAGTGGGGGAAAGTGCAGGGAGCGTGTGGGCGAGCGGGGGCGGAGGTGCATGGGGAGCGCGTGGGCGAGCGGGGAGCTCACGGCTGTGGATGTCGAGCATGAACGAGTGGAAGTGGACGCGGCACTTCCTCTCCACCTCCACGTGCGAGAAGAAGAGGTCCATGAGCATCGTCTTGCCCGTGCCTGCCACCACGCAGCACACGCAGCACACGCATCGCAAGCTCGGCACGGCCCAAGCATGGCTCAATTGTGCAGTGGAAAAAGGGAATTCTTTTGCCTTCACACAATCGGGAACCCAGCTAACGGTGTGGTGCTGTGCGGTGGGGTGCAGTATGGAACAGCCCGGTGTGGTGCGAGGGGGAACCCACCGACGTCACCGTGAATGTAAATCCCTTTCACGGGCGGAGTTGGAGCCGACATCAGCTGAGACAAACCCCCAAAGACAAACACAATCACACCCACAACTTGTTAGGCATAGTGAGCAAGTGCGCAGTGAGATACACACGTGTGTGTGCACACCTATGTGATGCTGTGTCACACCTGTGTGACGTCGTCACAGGTGTGACACCTGTGTGACACCTGCGCCGACGCTACACGGCCCTGAGGACCGCCCCCCACCCCACCCCACTACCTGTGCCCACATCCCCGGCTGTGGGGGACTGTACCCCCTCAGGGCGTCGTGCAGCCCCTGCAGCCGGCCCACCACCGCCCGCTGCTGCTCGTCGGCCCTCAGCTCCCCGCGCTCCACCAGCTCGGCGTAGGCGGCCACGGGCCCCCCCCGCGTGTGCACGCATGAGGCTGCAGCCCACGGCACGCACCACCCGGACACAACGCCATGAGTCCGCCACTCGGAAAGGAACATCAGCGTCATCGTCATAATAACAATACGTTACTATTTGTAAAGTGGCGCATTTCATCCGTAGATCCCACCAATGGAAAGCCAGGAAATAAAATAGAACCTGCACAGGGTAAACGGCCAGAACTACGCAGGGGGTAAAATCCGTTTTCAAGACACGATTAAATAAATATATAACGACTCCGATTGTCTTATTAGCAGAAGAAAATAGTTCCAAAGCTTGGGGGCTGCATTGGCAAAAGCCGATCACCCCAGAAAATGAGCCTTGACCTCGGAGTCCTTAGAAGGCGGTGATCCGATAGCCCTCAGGGAGCTCGTTGGAGAGTAAACACGGATCGGTTCCTGTAAATATTGCAGGGCGAACCCAGAGTTCCTTGTAGGTCAGCAGCAGCGTCTCACAGTCCACTCGGGACTTGACTGGTAGCCAGATATAATGACAAAAACGAGCAGGTGCGTGATGAGCTCCTGAAACGTGCTCGCTTCAAGGCTCTAGCAGCTGCATTCTCAACGAGCTGGAGTCTACCCAGCACCTTACTCGGAATTCCGAACATCATTGGCCGTGCTCAATCCACTGCTGGATGAACGTCTCCTGCCCAAGCCGCTGCCTCTCACGATCCCTGCCCTGGAACGATCCACACACATCAGTGGCCGCCTGCTCCACCGCCGTCTCCTCCACGGCGGTGGTGGTAACTCCTCTTGGACGCGTTCCCCGTCCCTGTGGCTGCTGCCATTCCGTTCTTAAGCCTCGACCATCGTCGTCCGCCACGCTCCCTTCGCGCCGTGACGCGTCCTGCCCAAGCCCCGCTCACCTCTCTCAAAACCCAGGGCTAAGGATGGGTTCGGGGGTTCGTGTTAGGTTTGGGGAAAGGGGTTAAGGTTAGGCCAGGATGTTAAGGTGTAGTATGGGTGAGGGTCCGAGGGTTAATGTGCGGGTTTTAGGGGCCATAGTTCGGCATTGGGACCAGAAATAATATCTCCACAAGGGCCCCAGTGAGGGATAAGGGTGAATGTGAGGGCAGTTTAGGGGGTCGTGGTTAGTGTTCGGCACTTAAAGGGACCCGATGGGTTACCCCCCCCCCCCCAAGGGCATGAGCGAGGGCGTCTGGGGCCCCGTCCCCACCTGGTACACGGCAGGAGAGGAGTCGCAGGGCCCGCAGCCGCGTCCAGGGGGCCCCGGGGGCCATGGCGACCCAAGGGGTCCCGGGGGGTCCCGGCGGGAGCCGAGGGGGTCAGGGGTGGAACGCACAGGGGCCCGGTGCCGGCAAGGGCACGGGCGCGGCCATTACCGGAAGTGACGCGATCGGAGTGGGCGGAGTTTAGGGAGAGATTAGAGAGAGTTTAGAGAGAGGGAGGGGAGAGATTAGGGAGAGTGTTTAGAGAGAAAGTTTAGACAGAGATTAGAGAGAGTTTAGAGAGAGGAAGGGGAGAGATTAGAGAGTGTTGGGAGATGGAGCGGGGAGGTTAAGAGAGGGAAGAGTTAAGAAAGAGAGGGGAGCGCGCAGAGAGAGAGAGAGAGGGGGGAGAGGGCGCCACCTGGCGGCGTCTTCCTCGTCACTTCCTCCCCCCACCCAGAACCCCCCGCTCCGTCAACATCCTCCTCGCCAGCAGGGCCCAGCACCACCATGGCCACCAAGCGCCGCCTCGCTCCCTTCCCCCTCCTCCTCCTCCTCCCCTTCCTCGTCTTCCCCGCGGGGGCCTGGGGTCCCGGCGGGACGCCGCCGCACGCCTGGCTAGAGCCCGCGATGCGGGGGGGAGGGGAGGTCCCCCTGTACCCCGTGTACCCCGTGGAGCCCCTGGGGCCCACCCCGGGCGAGTCTCCGTGCGCGCCGCTGCTCGTGGAGTTCGCGAGGAGGAGCGCCGAGTTGGCGCTCTGCTCCGTGCGCCACGCGCGGCCCCTGCGCCTCTGCGGCAGCTGCGTCATCCAGCAGTGGAGCGCCAACCGGACCTACGGGCAGATCCTCACCACGGTGCGGGGGGGGGGGGGGGCACGGGGGTCTAAAGGGGTCCAGGGGAGACTGGAGGGGGACCCGGAAGGACGCGGGGACACAGGGGACTAATGGGGGGGGATTAGAAGGGACCGCGAGGGAGAGCGGCGACTCAAGGGGATCGGGCGGGAAACGGGGCCACGGGGGAGGCGTGGGGGGGGGCACGGGGGAGGCGTGGGGGGGGGGCACGGGGGAGGCGTGGGGGGGGGCACGGGGGAGGCGTGGGGGGGGCACGGGGGAGGCGTGGGGGGGGGCACGGGGGAGGCGTGGGGGGGGGGCACGGGGGAGGCGTGGGGGGGGGCACGGGGGAGGCGTGGGGGGGGGGGCACGGGGGAGGCGTGGGGGGGGCACGGGGGAGGCGTGGGGGGGGGCACGGGGGAGGCGTGGGGGGGGGCACGGGGGAGGCGTGGGGGGGGGGGCACGGGGGAGGCGTGGGGGGGGCACGGGGGAGGCGTGGGGGGGGGCACGGGGGAGGCGTGGGGGGGGTCACGGGGGAGGCGTGGGGGGGGGGCACGGGGTAGGCATGGGGGGGGCACGGGGGAGGCGTGGGGGGGGGCACGGGGGAGGCGTGGGGGGGGGCACGGGGGAGGCGTGGGGGGGGGCACGGGGGAGGCGTGGGGGGGGGCACGGGTGAGGCGTGGGGGGGGGGCACGTGGGAGGCGTGGGGGGAGGCGTGGGGGGGGGCCACGGACGGCCGCGTTGGCTTCGTGTGGCCAGGGCGAGAACTCGAGAGGAGGCTGTGCGCCTTAGGGGCTGTGCTCGGCAGCGCGACGGTGTCAAATCGCACAACATGTGTGAGAATTCCTCCAGTGGAATAATACAGATCGGGTTCCTCGCCCACCCGCCCTGCTGCTCACCGCCCGCCACCTCGCTCGGCCTCTCTCCCCGTCCCCTCCAGGTGCAGGGTGACAACGAGACGTGCGAGAGGAGCCTGCTGCGCTCGGACCGCCTGCAGCTCGTCTACCAGCAGCACTCCTTCTCGCAGGGCCTCTGGGACGCCGCCGCCTGCGAAGGTCGGGCCCGCCCAGAGAGCCCTCCCAGTGGACCCCCCAGAGGACCCATCCAGAGAGCCCTCCCAGTGGACCCCCCAGAGGGCCCGCCCAGTGGGCCCCCCAGAGGGCCCGCCCCGTGGGCCCGCCCAGAGAGCCCTCCCAGTGGGCCCCCCAGAGGGCCCGCCCAGAGAGCCTGCCCAGAGAGCCCTCCCAGTGGACCCCCAGAGGGCCCGCCCCGTGGGCCCGCCCAGAGAGCCCTCCCAGTGGGCCCCCCAGAGGGCCCGTCCAGTGGGGCCGCTCAAGAGGGTCGCCCCGGGTTCGGCTTCTTGCGAGCGCCGTCCCGGGTTTGACGCTGAATAAGAATTAATAGTAATTACATTTCTAGAGCGCTTTTCGTCAAGGGTCATAGAGCGCTGTACAGGACAGCAGCAGACACTCGGCATAAAACATAATATTTTATAAATCATTTACTATAATAACTAAACACTAATAAGCGGACGGTCCAGGTATCAGCGTCGTCTGTGTTTGGGTGGCGGCAGGGATCGGTTTGTTTCCGAGATCTGGTGACTGGTTGGAACTTACGGGAGACTGCACAGGTTCGATAGTCGAGATGTGTTAGGGGCTTGGCCTCTACAGTGAATAAAGTGGCAACCCTGCCACTCAGTCAACCCATCTACTCATTAATTTTCCAAGTCACTCATCAACTCACCTGCTCACTTAACCACCCACGCACTTGCTCACTCATCCACTCGCTCATTCACTCACCTGACTCAGTCGGTCATCAGCCGACTTGGGTCACCACCACCTTCTCCGGGTTTGACGATGGGACGGTTTCACTCACCCACCGGCTCGCTCATTCACTCACCCACTCACTCGCTCATTCACTCGCTTATCCACCGACGAGGATCAACCAGCACCACCTCCGGGTTTGATGCTGGGACGGTCCGAGAATTGGCCTCGTCGTGTTCGGGTGACGTCGCCAGGAGGCGATTTGTACCGACATTTGCCACCGGTGAACTTTAAGACCGTTGCTTTCACAGTGACAGTGTTGACGGACTGAGGCAGGGTTCGCTCTGTGGAAAAGGTGGCAAACCTCAGTCATCGGTTGTAGCCATTAGAGGCCCTTGTGTTATAATTTATCGTCGATAAGACGACTCTTACGAAAAATCATCCCAGCTGCAGTCCCCATCTCCTAAGCAGTCCTGGCTATCCCTAGGTCAACTCGGCCATAAAAAGGAGTACCTGGTGCATTGTAATCATAAGTGGCAAGACAAAGTCGGGCAGGCATGGCTCTGGCCACACCACCACCCCCTTGTGTGCCGTTGCCGGCCTTCAAAGGTGCTTGCTAACAGCCTGTGTAGACTACACGGGGGATGTGTCTGCGTGGGATGTGTGTGCGTGGGATGTGTGTGTGTGTGGGCCACAGCCTGCCTGGTGAACGGAACGAATGGCACGCGGGAGGTGGCTTCGTGGATGATCAGCTTCATGCACCAGCTCAACGAGACGCGCACCTGCTTTCACGAGAACTCGCTGGTGAGGGCCACTCACCCCTCTCCACCACACCTACCATGGGAGTTCAGTTTTACCATGGAGGCCCAATTTTACCATGGGAGTCCAGTTTTACTATTAGGGGTTACATTTTACCACGGGGGTCCAGTTTTACCACGGGGGTGCAGTTTTACCCTGGGAGTCCAATTTACCCACCACTCCACACAACACATGCAACCCCTCACTACTTATGAGGTTGTGTTAGTGCTGACTTCATGTTTCTACTTTGTTTCCTCATACTGGTGACACAGGTCAGTCACTGTGGCAAGTGAGGCTGTATCCTAGCCCTCTTTAGTTCTCACCTGGCTAGACAAACCCGAGACTTTAACCTCTTTGTGTGTGTCTCTGTCTGTCGCTCACCGCCACCGTTTCCGTGACCTCGTGCAGGTGCCGCGGTACGACCTGGGAGGCAACGTGAATTACTCGGCCGTGTGCAACAATTGCAGGACCGCGTACAACACCCTGGGGAGCATGTATGCCAAGCTGCAGAAGAACGGCAGCTTGTGCATTGACCTGGAGGACGCGGTACGGTGTGTGCACGTGTGTGTGTCGGGTTTGTTTGGGGAACGGTGGCGTAGCGGTCAGCGCGTTGCTCTACGAACCACGGCGACTCGAGTTCGATTCCCGCTCGCAGCCAACACCAGTGACAATGATCTGAACTGGTCCTGGGCCTCAAATGATTACCTGGTGCGGTGTGTGAACATCGCCACTGGTGAGACAAAGGTGGCAGGGTTGTGGAATAAACCACCCGCCCCCTCATGCCGTTCCAGCCTTCATAGGTGCTCACAAACAGCACTTGCGCCAACAGCAGTCTGCCGTTGGATACGGCACGGTGTGTGCACGTGCGCGTTAGTGGTATCTGTGTGCCGTCACATTGCCGCACCGTGCGCGTGATGCGCCATCGCACGCGCGTGATGCAGCTCCGTGCGCATCCGCACAGATGAACACTACGCGGCAGCTCTGGAGCGCGCGGTTCAAATGCGTGGAGTACTGCAGGGACACGCCCTCCGTGCTGGCCGTCTCCATCTTCATGTGCATGCTGCCCATCTTCTTCTACATGAGCAGCGTGATACACTCACGGCAGCGCAAGCGGCGTCTCGTCACGTGTGAGTATGATGCACGGCCAAGATTTTTGCAGGGGGGGGGGTAGGTGGTTTGCAGGCCATTGTGGCCATGTTGCGAAGGGGACGTCACGCCGGCAATGTTGCAAGGGGAAATGTTGTCTTTCTGTCAGCTGATTGGCAACGATGTTACCGCCAGCGCCAACCACTCTTAGAACAGCGAGAGTTATGATCTCGCTACGTCGGCCAAAATGTACGTTGACTTATAACCTGGCTTTAAAAGATTTGAGGTCGTGCGAACCATCACGTAGCCTGCGGGACTTGACGACAGATCGTAATGGAGGGCACGTAATGCAATAAAATCAGACACCAGATGAAATCACCGACCTGCAATCTGCCCATATATGGAAAAAAGGTGTGACGTTGCCCGTAGGGGCCTGTCTCTGCCCATATATGGTCTTGTGGAACCCAAAGCACAGTATCGTGTATCGATTCTGCTCGTAGTCTATCCGACAGCCATGTTAGAGTATCGAATCGAGCGTTAATCACTGCGTTGATTAATTGGCAAGCGATGCACAGATCGAGTAATCCCATTGGTGAGTATGGTGTCACGTGACATGCCCCCTTTTGATTGGCCAACATCCGTACAATCGGTGATTTGCTCGCAGTCAGTCTCTGTCGCGCGTAGTCACAGCGTCTGGCCGGCCGCTGTTTTGCAGCCAAGCGCATGAAGTCGACAAACAGCTCGGCAAGCCTGCACCGAGCGCAGTGACACGTGCGCCGGTGGGAAGGGGACCGGCAGCTTCTCCGCCACGATCCCCCCCCCCGCCAAACCTCCCGCCCCCCACCCCCTGCGCTCACGCGCACGGAGACGCACATGGCGTTGGCGCTGGACTCTCCATCTCGGGTATTAGACAAGTGACACAACCTCAACACGTATGTCGGTAACACTGGGGCCCCGAAAGCAATGCAATGATTTGTATTTACTTCGGCGGCGTTTTGGGCATTGGCCCCTTGTTCTTCAAAGAACATGTCTCGATTACTTCAGCAATAGAACACTTTGTCGATTGTCGGCTCTTTACCTGAAGTGCCGGGCAGAAGTATAAATAAAATGTCACGTGTGCCGATGGACGGGAACTGGTGTTGGGCATTGGCCATGTCGCGCTGGGCGTGGCTTGCAGTGAGTTTCCCACCTTCAGGAGGCAGGATGTGGAGGCGGCCGCCATTTTTATAAAGGGCTCCAAGTAGTGGGGCAAGAATACACCACCACCAACATCCCTTTGATCACATCTACACCAACGTGACCCCCCCCCCCCCCAAGAGGAAGCGGGTCATGTCTTCTTCACAGAGCAGCAAAGTGAGTCAAGCATGGCTGTAAATGCCCTGGTTTATTGACATCACAACAATAACAGCGCTCACAGATTCCAACCTGGCACCACAGCCCCCCTTTTCCCTCGATGGAGAGGGGGGGGTGGCACCTATGTAGATTCTGCAGACAAACCAAGCAACGCAGCTTTCAGAAAATAAAATATCTCTAGCTTAGCTCTCTTCATATTTCATAGGAATTGCACTCATATTAACCTACAGTACGATAATCGATTAAATAAGGATTAGTTTGACGGGTAGATTACCTTTCCCCCACTCCGCACGCAAACTGCTCAGTCCGTGGGCCCCAGAAACCTCTAGTTCAGCCCCACCGAGGGTGGCAAACCTCCAGCTGCGACTTTCCTATTCGTTTACATGGCAAATTGGAGGTGGGTATTTAACCACCAGCTCTGGTCAGATGGTCACTGCTTGATGAGGGCGGCAATGCCATCTGTTGCAGAGGATTCGCGGTTCAAATTCCTTGGGCCACCCTGGATATTGCTATGGTGTGCATTAATCGTAAAAATGCAACGAGGCACCCTCGGCCACAGAGTGGACGTCAACGATCCCGTGCCATCGTTCGCAACGAGTAGCAGGCTGTTCCGCCCTGGCGGTCCAATTTTGAACTTTTACCTGCAAGTTACTGGATTGGGATTGCTCAGCAGCAGTAATCATTGCCCCCCCCCCCCCCTCCTTAACGTACTGCAATGACTGCCGGCTGTCTGTGGACAGCATCTACAGCGCCTGAATGGCAATTGCCGTGCGGCACCATGAGAAATACAGCGCCCGTAGCACATGCACTCAAATCGCTGCTGTTGGCCGCATACAGAAGCTGGAACCCACTGAAGTGATGCCCCCCATGGTGGTACAGACCAAATGAAACTTCTTGTCTCGACTTGCGGATCAAGTGGAGGTTTTGGGGCTTTGCAACTTTTCCCACATTGACCAAGGGCGGCCCTGAACCTCCACTCTTTTCACGACACGCCAGCTACTCTGAGTGCAACTGGCGACCCCGAAGCCCGCGGCGGTACACATCACGTCGGTTCGCGAGCGTGCTTGATTAAGGACTTTTCACAATGCGGGTGCGTTTCTGCGAGTTATCTCAACCCCTGCCAGGCATTGGGGTGCAAGAGTTATTCTGTTGGTACGACTCTTAAGCTCACGGCACGATGATTAAAAGTATTTTTTACCATTTGTGTAATGGTTCATGTTTCGTGGGTTCCTTAAAGACGCCTAGCGCGGTGTAAAGCGAAACGTGGCATCATCGCCACCGAATCTGGCCTGTGAGAAGTTTTCCTTTACTTGCCGCTGGGTGAGAGTGGACATGAGTGAGCAGGTGGGCGAGGAGGTGATTGTGCGGGTGGGTGAGTGTGGAGGTGAGCTGGTGGGTGATTACGGACGTGAGTGTGGAGGTGAGCGGGTGGGTGAAAGCGTTTGACTCGGCATTGGTGAGCTCGCCGAAACAAAGACCTCCCCATGTAGCCTTAACAGACTGTTGGGACAAGTGCTGTTAGCGAGCACCTATGAAGGCTGACATGCTACACGAGGAGGTGGGTTGCCAGCACCACGCCCGACCGCCTTTGTCTCCCGAGTGTCGATGTTTATACACTGCACTCGATACATATTTGAGGCTGAGTCGACCTAGGGGAGGCCCAGGACCGGTTCAGATAATCGTCACCGGTGTTGGCCGTAAGCGGGAATCGAATTCGGGTCACCGGGTTCGTAGCGCAGCGTGCAAACCACTGCACCACCGCTCGTGCACCCCGTGGACAATTGAATTTACCTGCGTCGGGTGATGATGGGTTTCGCGACACGAAATTTGACCGAATCATGACTACGTGGTGGCCTAACGCACAGTCAACTACGAATCATTCAGCGACAATCTCGTACAACGAAAGGGTTCGATTGGAACAATTCGCTGGTGGAGGTCGGGGCATTGGGGTCCCCGCAAAGAGGCCTTTGGAAAGTCTGGGGGTGGTCGGAGTCCCGCAATGAACTCGCACCTTGCACGTCGACGACGTAAAGCACGACAATGTGGTGTGGGCGAGATGCGACGACGCTGCAGTCGGGAGGGTGGGTGGGGGACGCTATAAGCGCAATGCACTTAATGGTAATAATTTAGGTAATTTTACAATCAAGTAAATATGAGTAATTTACGGGCATTACGCTGGGGGGGGGGGGGGGGGTTGAACGCGTGGCCTTCACGTTACGCAACGACACAAGCTCGACCCCACGGCCACAGCGCCCGATAGGTTTTCAGCCTTGGCTGGGAACCGTGACGTCACATTTCGCCCCTCGGGGCCCCCCCCTACTCGCCCCTTCATACCCCCCCCCCTACCCCGACAACATTTAGAAAGCCACCTAATAATGAATAATTATGGGAGGCTCGTTATGACAGTAATGATCGAGGGCTTTGGGGAACGTGACCCTGAATGGTGGCAAGATGGGCTGGGTCCACTCTATACCAGGATTTGAACTTGCAATGTTCCAACTGCGAGCCGCCCTACAGAGCACAATTGCACGTCTGGCATGAGCCGATCTTCGTTCTACCGACCTGCACGCCGCACGCTCTTGCCGATTGCTCAGCACGTCCCTCGTGACCTGAAGTGCGGTGATTAATTTGAATCGGCGCCCCACATCCCGCGGTATGCAAGCGCGTGCTCTCTCACCCGAGGGCCGCACACCTTCCTCTGAATTGGCACGGAGCTTTAAGTGCCCCTGCAGGGTCCCAGCGCTCTTCGCCGTGCAGAACCTGGGAACGGAGTTTCCCGCGGGGAAACTAAAGTTGCCCACGAAACGATCTGGCCAAATCTGTGATGTTCCAACAACTCTTTAACACCCTTTCCCTATCGGCCTAAATACATCGTGAGCCTAAATGCATCATTAGCGTGTCTGCGTGAACTGTGAATAACCGATGGTCACACATGCTATTAGATGGGTACATCCCGCTTCCCAGTCCAGCTGATACACGTACTGGTCACTACCCGACCTGGGTGAACAATCGTGGACACTGAAGAATGATAATGGACACTAAAGAGTGATCATGGACACGGAAGAGTGAACATAGACACTAAAGCGTAATCATGGACATTGAAGAATGATAATGGGCATTGAAGAATGATCATGGACATTGAAGTGTGATCATAGCCACTGAAGAGTGATCACGGACACTAAAGCGTAATCATGGACACTGAAGAGTGATCATAGACACTCAAACGTAATCATGGACACTGAAGAGTGATCATGGACATTGAAGTGTGATCATGGGCATTGAAGAGTGATCATAGACACTCAAGCGTAATCATGGACACTGAAGAGTGATCATGGACATTGAAGTGTGATCATGGGCATTGAAGAGTGATCATAGACACAAGCGTAATCATGGACACTGAAGAGTGATCATAGACACTCAAACGTAATCATGGACACTGAAGAGTGATCATGGACATTGAAGTGTGATCATGGGCATTGAAGAGTGATCATAGACACTCAAGCGTAATCATGGACACTGAAGAGTGATCATGGACATTGAAGTGTGATCATGGGCATTGAAGAGTGATCATAGACACTCAAGCGTAATCATGGACACTGAAGAGTGATCATGGACATTGAAGTGTGATCATAGCCACTGAAGAGTGATCACAGACACTAAAGCGTAATCATGGACAAGAGTGACCATGGGCATTGAAGAGTGATCATGGACACGGACGAGTGATTGTGGAAGTTGCAGACACCCCCGGAGAGGAATCCCGCTCGGTGTGAGAGAAGCTCTGGCCCGGAAACCGTGGCCATTTTTCACAAATAAATAGACGGACGATATGTACAGAGACATGGCACACGCTCGCACACGTGTACACAGCCACACACACACAAAGCACACTCGACACCGACACCACGGCTCAACTCAAACTCAGTTCACGAGTCCGGTGTGACCCTGCTCCCTCCCTCGGCTGTGCCGCAGGGGGTGTGGGTTGCCCGGCACCGTCCCCGTGGCTCCCAGCACCGTCTCTGTGTGCGGCACCGTCCCACACGAGCCCTGGGCCGTGGCCATGACCTCTGTGGGGCACCGGGGAGTCTGCTGGCCAGACCCCCCCCAGACAGCCAGACCCCCTAGCCAGTCCTAACAAGTCCTCCATCCGCTTCCCTTAGCCGTACCCCCCCTAGAGCCACGCAGATTTTCCGGTCGGCGGTGGAGTTTGAGCCGCCAGTGCCCCGACACGCGGTCCCCCCGAGGGCCTCTATCAACCGGTGGGGCCGCAAACGGCTCACCAGGGGGTAGATGGCCAGCACCACGCTCGGTCGCCTTTGTCTCCCCATTACTGATATTTGCACACTGCGCCAGGTATTCAATCGAGTCAACCTAGGCGAGGCCTTGGACCGGTTAAAATATTCGCCACCGGCGTTGGTGGCCATTAGCAGAAATCGGAACTTGGGCCGCTGGGTTCGTAGCGCAGCGCGCCAACCGCCTCTCCACCCAACACGCGCACGCACGGCAGGAGGCGTGACGACGGAAGTGACTACAACGATCGTGATGATGACGATGATATTTACAAGATCCTAGGAGGGCGGGAGGACGAGTGGCTGGGAGTTTGATGTGGAGGAGGTGCGATGGGGAGGGGAGTGGCGGTTGTGTGGCGTGGTCGGCTAGCTCGCGCCGCCCCCCCTGGGCAGGTGTGCCAGGGGCTGGCCGTGCTGGCCGGCACCGCTGCTGGTGCTCTCCTCGATGCTGCTGTACACGGGCTCCCCGTTGTCGTACATGGTGGACGAGGGCTCCGAGCGCACGGCATCTGCGACGCACGGTGGCGTGTGGGGGGACGGAGACAGCGGCGTCAGCGGTCGGTGTTACACGCGTGTGTTTTTGTCATACTTGTTAGCGTGTGTGTTGGGCGTGTTGGTTAGTGTGTGTGTGTTCGCGTGCGTGTGTTGGCATGACGCACTGCTCTTGCGGCGTGGCACCACGAGGCAGCTCTGCGAGGAGCTGCTGGGCCCCGTGGACACCTGGCTCGAGTTGGTCGAGTTGCTAGACATCGACTTGGTCACCTGGTTGCCTCCCGGCTTCTTCGTGTAGTTCGTTCCCGTGCGGCTCCAGTCTGCATGCAGCGGGAGGGAGGAAAGACAGGCAATCGGCGAATCATTCATTGTGGCCGCTTTACTCACTTTTCATTCACTCACTCACTCTCCATTCAGTCACTCACCTTTTATGCTCTGTCAATCATTCGCCAGGCATTCACCGTTTCCATTCATTTAATGGAAATCATTACTTCCTTCTCCACCATTCACTCTCAATAATGAATTCAGTCTCATTTATTCTTCTTTGTTCTGGCACCTTCTATTGTTTACTGCATGCGAGGCTTAGCTTAGCGCTATCAGCGACACCTGGCGATCATCTCACCGGAGTTGTCAGGCAGACGGCAGCGGCCGCAGCACAGGTAGCGGCGCCAGTGCTTCCGCACATTCTCTTTCATGGCGCAGTGGAACACGAAGATGAATGTTCCTGTCCGGGGTACACACACACATTCAGAGATCACTCGTGTGGCCTTAACGCTCTGTTGGGGCAAGTGTTGTTTAGCAAGCAGCACCTATGCAGGCCGGCACGTCACGCGAGGGGGTGGGTGGCCAGCGCCAGCGCCACCCCCCATGCCACCTTTATCTTAGCCCCGGTGCTCCGGTTAGCATGGTTGGCTACATGCGGTGCGAAATAATTTCGACGTACAGTGCTGATGTTGGCCACACATCACACCAGGTACTAATTTTAAGGCTGAATCAACCTAGGGGAGGCCGCGCCGGCTGCAAGTCCACCGGCTTTGAAGCACAGCACGCAAACCGGGGGGGGGGGGGGGGGTGAGTAGAGGCACCCGCATCTCGCGCCAGCGCCCGACGCACCTTGCAGGGTGTTGAGGATGCAGAAGAGGTACATGAAGGGCAGGTTGGCGGGGCCCCACGCAAAGAAGGCGAAGACCCAGGTGAGGCCCAGCAGGAAGGTGAGCGACACGGAGCCCTTGAGGTCGCGCAGCACGTCGGAGCGCCAGTCGCCGGTGGCGCCGCGCGAGCTCTTCATGCTGCAGATCTGCACGAGCACCACGACGAACATGGCCATGTTGATGCAGAGCACCACGCCCAGGAAGGCCACCACCGTCGCGTAGAACGCTGCATCGCCGTTGTGCCGGAACCAGCAGCTGCGGGGGGTGGGGAGGGGGTGGGAGGAGGGGAGACGCCGGCCGGGGCGGGGGCGAAAGGGGGGTATTAGGAGGCGAAAGCTCCATCCGGATATAGGACCACACACGTCCGAATCCAATCTGCACGGATGACGCTGCCATACACAGAAAGGCTATCGTTTATCCCATTATAATCATTTGGGAAAGTGGACAGGGGCTAGGGGAATGGGAATAATAGGTTTTCGTGGATAGGGATTAAAGAATAGGGGTTAGGAAACGGGTTGGAGATAGGGTTTGGGGATAGAGGGTTATGGGGTAGGGGTTAGTGTTAAGAGTAAGAGATAGGGTAAGGGGTTAATGTAAGGGAAAGGGGTTAGGAGTTAGGGTTTAGCGATTGGGGTTAGGGGTTATGGACTCGGGATTAGGGTTAACGATAGCAATAGGAGTTCACGGGTTAACGGTGATGGGTTAGGTATTCGGGCTTAGCAATAGGAATAGGTGTTTAGTGATAGGGGTTATGGGTTTGGGGTTAGCGATAGGGTTTGGGTTATTGATAGGTTTAGAAGTTATGGGTTGGTGATTAGGGGTTAGGGTTAAGGGTTATGAGTTGGGGGTTAGCGATAGGGTTAGAGGTTATGGGTTGGTGATTAGGGGTTAGTGTTAGGATAAGGATTATGAGTTGGGGGTTAGTGATAGGGTTAGAGGTTATGGGTTGGTGATTAGGGGTTAGTGTTAGGATAAGGATTATGAGTTGGGGGTTAGCGATAGGGTTAGAGGATATGGGTTGGTGATTAGGGGTTAGTGTTAGGGTTAAGGGTTATGAGTTGGGGGTTAGCGATAGGGTTAGAGGTTATGGGTTCAGGGTGTGCGATAGGGTTAGTGGCTCGGGGTCACAGACTGCCCCACGTGGGACTCACAATGAGTCCTGTGTGGAGTTGGCGGAGCGCGAGTACGCTACGAGTCCGTATACATCCATCTGGATCGCGAGCACCAGACCGACGACCACCGCTGGGATCCCTGAACACACACACGGTGAACACACGCACACACGATACACACGCACACACGATGAACACGCACACATACGGTGAAGACACGCACACACACTGTGAACACTCACACACACAGTGAACACACGTACACACACGGTGACCACGTGCATGGTGAACACACCCTGCACCCTGTACTCTCACCCTGCACCCTCACCCCCCCCCCCCCCCCCGTGCACCCTCACCCCATCCGGCGATGCAGAACTTGAGGATGTATCTGCGGATGTAGGTGTTGAACACTTTGACGAGGGCGATGTACATGTGCAGCGCCTCGAGGCCCATCCACGTGAAGGAGGCGAGCAGCGCGTAGTGCAGCAGCGCCGCCACAGCCACGCACAGGCCTGGTATGGCCAGCGAGGCCAGCCACGGGTCCAGCAGGAACACCAGGTTCAGCAGCAGGAGCGCCGCGCACAGGTTCATGAGGATGCGCGACGGGAAGTCTCGCCGCAACTTCCTGTTGGCCGAGACGATGGGTTTCGGTGGGGGTAGGGGGGGGGGCAGGAGGTGAGGGCACGGTGTGTGTGGGTGTAGTACCTGGGCAGTGTAATTATGACCAGCTCCAGTTTTGCCAATACAGTTCTCACCCCGAATTAATCGAATGGCGTTATCTTTAAATCGGCTGTGTAACGCTGTGTGGAAACTATGTGGCCAGTTGTTCCACACGAACCTTCGGGTCTTCTCGGCCACAGTAAAGCCCTCGTTGCTCTATGATTGCGAGATGTGGACCCCTCTAATGGAGAAACATCTGAGCCAGTTTAAAAAATTCAGGTTGGCCTGCCTACGATCCATCCTGGGTTTAACCAAGCTTGTGTAAGAGCACACAGATCCTTGAAAGATCTGGACACAGTCCCATCAGTGAACTCCTCCTGCAGGCAAGGCTGCATCCGCTGGGTAATGTTTCCCGCATGCCCAGCCACCTCATGCCCAAGCAGCTTTTTGGCCGGATAGATGGGGATGATAACAGTGGCACGGGCTGGAGAAGGGATGGAACTGATGCAGTACAGGAGGATGTGGAGCTGAGTGAACTTGCCGAAAACTGATTCCAGCAGTGTCAAGATCGGCCTCTTTGGAAGAAGGCTCATGAAGGACGCTACTGGCAGCTGGATGCAGTCGCCCTCCAACAACAGCGATGGTGTGTGTGTGTTGCGTGATGCGAGTATATGATGTGTGTGTGTGTACGTGTCAATGCGTGATGGTCTGTATATGATGTGTGTACATGTGCGTGATGGGGGCCTCACTCGAAGGCGATGTGCGTGAGCAGGGTGATGGCGAGCAGGATGGAGGACACTCCGCAGCCGATGTAGGTGATGAACGTCAGTGCCATCTCGTGCTCTTTAGGTGTGGGGTCGTCGTTGAGTTGCTGCATCACACGCGGCAAAGACAAAGATCCCGCGTATAGCGTTATCAGACTGTTGGGGCAAATGCTGTTTGCGAGCAGCGCCTATGAAGGCCGTCACTCGAGGCACACACAGTGTCACAAACAGCAGCAACGGAAACCGCGTCCGAGGTAAAGGCGTGGCCCTGCAATGGCGTCACTGCTGGTTGAAGGGCTGTTGACTGCGCTGCGCGACATCAGTGCTCTATACAATGTACAGTGTACAGGCAGCGTCCGCTCATTGCCCTAACGAGCACTCAAACCGCCCGCGTGGCTGCTCGGAGCGAGAGCGAGCGGCTCATAGCAAGCGGAATTTCGCGAAGTTTACATCTTGGTTGGAGGTGGGGGTGGGTTGGCTCAGCCCACACAATGTAATCCAAGTCCATTCCTCCCTCCGGGGTCGATAAAATCAGGACTGTCAAGAAGATCAAAAGTGCTTGTCCTATGGACAATAGACTCGCCCCTGTCACCGGAATGAGGAATTTCCACCACTGGCTCTGCAGGGCTTCAAGCGGGCGATGAGCACCAAAACCTCGATGCCCATTTGAGCAGTTGGAACTCACCACAAATTGGATTACATTGTGTGGGGGGGGCCCTCATAATCCCAGGCTCCGCAAACCCCCGTCCCCCCTCCACCCCCAAACTGCTGACCCCGAAGCCTTGCCTCCCCCCGCGTGACCCCGGTGCCGCCCCTACGACCTCGCACACGCGGACAGGGTAACGGCTTTCTCCAGCGCAGACCAAACGCGGGCAGGTTGCTCGGTGGGCACTCGCGGACCCCTGGCGCTCGTGCGGGCGGACGGGCACCTGCTCACCAGCAGGATGCCGAAGTGGGTGAGGTGGTTGCAGCTGCACGTGGTCTGGCTGGCGTTAGAACTGATGACCTCACATCCATCCTGGCTCCACCCGGGACCTCCTAGAGGGCGGGGGAGTAGAGGATGGTGGGGGGCAGTTGTGTGAGCTATGTGGAGTGGGACCTTTTTGCCAATATCAAAGTATTAAAAAATCAGAGCAGAGACAACCAGATCGAGATCAGAGTAGATACAGACAGATAGAGATCAGAGCAGAGACAGACAGAGATCAGATCAGAGAGAGACAGATAGAGATCAGAGCAGAGACAGACAGGTAAAGATCAGAGCAGAGACAGCCAGACAGAGATCAGAGCAGAGACAGTCAGATAGAGATCAGATCACAGAGAGACAGACAGAGATTAGATCAGAGAGAGACAGACAGAGATCAGATCAGAGAGAGACAGATAGAGATCAGAGGAGATATTTTGCGAATGCCTCTCGTACAGTGCGGTGGTGAAGGTGTTTGCCCCCCCCCACCCCACTCACCGTTCTTGTTGAAGTTCCAGAAGACACACTTGTATGACATCTGTGGGGGGCAGGGGCACAGTGAGGAGAGGGGGACAGAGCGAGTGAGTGTTGTTATTGCTCTGCAAGTGTTGCGTGAGTGTTGCGAGCGAGTGATGCGTGAGTGTTGCGAGCGGGTGTTGTGAGTGAGTGATGCATGGGTGTTGTGAGCGAGTGTTGCGTGGGTGTTGTGAGTGAGTGTTGCGAGTGAGTGATGCATGGGTGTTGTGAGCGAGTGTTGCGAGCAGGTGTTGCGAGTGAGTGTTGCGTGGGTGTTGTGAGCGAGTGTTGCGAGCAGGCGTTGCGAGTGAGTGATGCGTGAGTGTTGTGAGCGAGTGTTGCGAGCGGGTGTTGCGAGTGAGTGATGCATGGGTGTTGTGAGCGAGTGTTGCGAGCAGGTGTTGCGAGTGAGTGATGCGTGGGTGTTGCGAGCGAGTGTTGCGTGGGTGTTGCGAGTGAGTGATGTGTGGGTGTTGTGAGCGAGTGTTGCGTGGGTGTTGCGAGTGAGTGATGCGTAGGTGTTGTGAGCGAGTGTTGCGTGGGTGTTGCGAGTGAGTGATGTGTGGGTGTTGTGAGCGAGTGTTGCGTGGGTGTTGCGAGTGAGTGATGCGTGGGTGTTGTGAGCGAGTGTTGCGTGGGTGTTGCATGTGAGTGATGCGTGGGTGTTGCGACCAAGTGTTGCTCTGCGCCTGTTGTTGCGGGGGTGCTCACCCCAGTGGCTGTGCTGACGTTGTAGGAGAGTGAGATGGTGACATTCTCCGTGAGGTTCACCAGACTCTCGTTGCCGATCGTCGCCGCTATCACGGGGCTCACCAGGCCCGGGGCCTGCACGGGATCACAGCGGGCACAGGGCAAGGGTGGTCACGTGAGTCACAGCGACATAAGGGTCAGGGGTCATAGGATCATAAGGGTCACGGGGGTCATCGTGGCAGTATGGGGTCATGATTGGGCATGGGGTCGTGAGGTTGAGTCGGCCATTGTGAGCCTGAGTAAACGTGTGCATGGATTAATGTATCTGTGTGTACGTGTGCCGGTGAGCGTGTGAGTATGAGAGTGAGTGAGTGTGGGAGACTTACGTGGAAGAGGCCGCCCGTCTTGCTGTACAGGTTGAAGTGAGCTCGGCTGCTGTTGTGTCTCTGCAGCAGTGCGGCCGGTAGCTGCACCCACATCTGCAAGTTGCTCGACAGCTCATGGCTGATCACATCCTACAAAAACAAAGATCCCCCGTGTAGCCTTGAACAGATCGTTGGAGGCAAGTGCTGTTAGCGAGCACCCGTGAAGATCGCTACGGCACACGAGCGAGTGGGTGACCAGCACCGTGCCTTGCCACCTTTGTCTCCTGAGCGCTGACGTTTACACACCTCACCAGGTACTAATTTAAGGCTGAGTCGACCTAGGGGAGATCCAGGGCCAGTTCAGATATTCGTCACCGATGTTGGCCGTGAGCGTGAATCGAACTTGGGTCCCTGGGTCCGTAGCGTAGTCCACTAATCACTGCACCACCACTCCCAACACAAACCAATACAAAGACAAAGATCCCCCATACAGCCTTAACAGACTGTTGGCGCAAGTGCTGTTAGCAAGCACATATGAAGGCCGGCACGGCACATGAGGGGGTGGGTGGCCAGCAACATACCCGGCCGCCTTTGTCTTCCCAGTGGCGATGTTTACACATTGCACCAGGTACTCGTTTGAGTTTAAATAGATTTCCAGCACCATTGAGGGTACTCCTGCCTCTTCTAAGTCGTCTGGCCAGTGAGGAAGAGGAGGCCAAATACAGTCTAGAGGGGTGCTCTAGTGGAAGCCATTCCGCCAGCAGTGACAAACACAGGATACACACAGCACACACACAAAACACAGCATACACACAGCAAAGACACATGGCACTGATACACGGCACACACACGGCACACACTCTCACAGCACACACACACAGACCATACTCGCACAGTACACACGTACACACATACACACGCACAGTACACATGTAGGGCTGTTACAGAGGGTCTGTTTGTGTAGGGCTGTTTACATAGGGGCTAATGGAAAACAGACACAGTGGGCGGGGTCTCCGTGAGCACACGGGGTGGTGCCCGCAACGACGTCCGTACTGGACGGCGTGAGGGGGGTTTCGATCCTCTAACGGGGTATAAAAAGGGTTGAGCCAGAGAGCTCGGGGCTCAGTCTTAGAGTAGTTAAGAGAAGAGAGAAGACCAGCCAGATAGGCCCTGGACTACCCCTGGGACGCCGCCCTTGTAAGGGCAGTGCAGGCTGGAGCCAGTGGCGTGGTCCCGGAACCAGAGTCAGACCTCTGGGATTCCGGGTACCGTAGCCCGACTAACCAGTGTCGGGCCAGACAGCCTCCCCTAGCCCGTTAGCGGAGGACTCAGCTAGGAAGGCTAGCTAGGGGTGAATTCCCAGTTGTACGGGTGAGGGGGCCGATACATCCCTCTAGTACTGTAAGCCCTTTGTATAAATAAATACGTGTGCCTTACCCCGTTGTCCACGCGTCTTCAACAACACTTCATCTGGCGTCAGAAGTACCAAGAACATGGACACGCGCCAAACAGCTCGAGCCAGGGAACAGCGGGCGGAGGACGCCGCCGAAATTGCCGAGCCCGAGATGGCTCTACTAGACGACGTGCAGCCGGGGCCGGATGCGGGCTTACCGGAGCATCGCCATGAAGAGGAGCAGCGGGGAGACGACCTGAGGCTGGCTCATGAGAGGCTGGCGGAACTGCTCTACGCCGCTGCCGCTGCGCTGGGGGACATCACACGGCTGGCGGCTGGTGGTCCACCGCGGGGCGAGAGGAACCGGCGTGGGGAGCATCTTCCCGCCATTTCTGAAGATTTAAATTTTGAAATTCCCGCCATCGACGCAGCGACCGCTAGGGGCGTGGCCAACCTCAACCTGGGGTCCGACATCGGCCGCGCTGGGGCTGCTGCATCAACGACGGAGGAGGGCGCGTCATCAAAGCTGCGACAGGCGATGCCATCTGCCATTCGCGCCGAGACGCAGCCGAGTCGGGGAGGCAGCAGTCCACGGGACTCCACGGCAGCCGCTGCGCTACACCAAAGGATGCCCCCGCTTAAAGAATTCGTGGGCGCAGAGGGCGACTGGAGCGGCTTTCAAAGACGCTTCCTCGCCCACCAGGAGATGGCTAAATGGACGGACGAAGAAGCTCTCAGCGCCCTGCCGGCGCTCCTGGACGGCGACGCGCTTGCCGCCCTAACATCGGCACCCAAGGAAAGGCGCTCCACGTTACCGATGGCGCTGCAGCTGCTGGGAGGGGTCTACGGACCGTCGGCGGAATGCAGACAAGAGTTCTACGACCGCAAGCGGGGAGAGAAGGAGTCGCCCCTAGCGTACCGAACGAGCCTCCTGGCGATGGCCAAGTCGGCCTTCCCCCGGATGGATGACGACGGCATCGACGCTATGGTAACGGAGAAGATACTCCTCCTGGCCGACGATCTAGACATCGCTGTCGTCGCACAGGAGGACGCGGAAATGACATCGCTCCAGGCGGCGCGGCTCCTCCACGCAAACCTCCTGTCGCTTCGACGCAAAGCCAGCAGGGCATCGGCGGGGCGTGCGGTGGCTGCAGCCACCCTTCCGACGGAGGAACTCTACGCCGTCGACCACCGACGGCAACAGGCGACGAGTGCACGGCCGGGCCAGGACGGGTCAGGCCGTTCCGACCACTCGTCACCTCCGACATCGCTCCCGCGGTGTTATAACTGCGGCGTCCGGGGCCACGTCGCCTCGGGGTGCCGCTCTCCTCGTCAGCGCGGGACGACACCTCACCGGGACGACGGGCCTCATCCCAAGCTCCACCGTCAAAAACCGGCGAGTCGCGGCACCCCACACGTTTGGCCCACACACACACCCGTCACGCACTCAAACACCGCGACGAGAGGGGGGCCGGTATCACGCACCATCGCACCATCACGCACCACTCCGGGTACCCATATCGAACCCGGCCAGTGGTCCGTGCTGGCCGATCGTGTGGTTGCCGCATCGTCGGGGTCGTCGGCCGTTGTAGGATATATCGACGGGGTGGAAGTGCGCATCCTGGTCGATACGGGGGCATCGGCGACTATTATTTCGGAATTAATTTACAATATTCTCCCTGTCCGGAGCCGTCCTTTGATGCCTGTTAACGTACCATTCTATGCGGCTAACGGGGGCTCACTTGGCATCATCGGACAAATTCGTGCCCAAATTTGTATTGGGGAAATTAAATTGTCTGGGCCGATTTTTGTTTCGTCCTCGCTGGCGGTTCCGTGCCTGCTGGGGACGGACTTCCTGGCCAAAATGCCGATTGTAATTTTGATCGACCAGGGGTGCATAGAGCTTCCATCGGGCAGACGCATGGCGTTCCTGCCATCACCAGTTGCGACTCGGACGGCGTTCGCGACGGTGCCGGCGTTCGTGGAGAGAACGGTACGCGTTCCTCCGGGAACGCAAATGTTGGTGCCCTTGAAGCTTCGGCGGCCCCTCGTTAAGGGTGCCGGGGCGCAAGGGGTACTGTTGGGACCGTCTAGGGCCGGGGTTAGTGGACCTGATTTACTACCGGCCCAGACCATAGTGAGAGGGGATAGTGAACCCTTCATCGCGGTCCTAAACGTGGGCTCGCAGACGGTGGTGCTCCCACAGGGGACCGTGCTTGCTCACGCAACGCCGGTGCCGTGTGAGGAGCCCGCCGTAAATTCCGTCAACACTGTCCCTGCGTCGCGACCACGTTCAGGACAGCGATGAAGGGTGGCTCGAGGCGCTTTGTGCGGGATCGACGGACCTGTCCGATTCAGAGCGTCAACAACTTAAAACGCTATTGCGAGAATTTTCCGACGTTTTTAGTCGAGATAAATATGATTTGGGCTGCACTCACTTGCTGCGTCACCATATTGACACGGGTGACAGCGCGCCAATTCGCCAAAATCCGTTTCGGTTGAGTCCCGCCGAAAAGGAACATGTCAAATCGGCTGTTGATGACATGTTAGCCGCGGACATCATTTCTCCTTCCACCAGCCCTTGGGGAGCGCCGATCGTCCTGGTTAAAAAGCAGGACGGTTCGTTGCGGTTTTGCGTTGACTTCCGGCGTCTTAATAAAATTTCGGTTGCCGACGCATACCCGCTCCCTCGGATGGATGAATCGCTTGACGCTTTGGCGGGAGCGCGATTCTTTTCCACACTCGATTTACTTTCGGGATTCTGGCAGCTTCCTCTGGACGATGAGTCTAAGCCTAAAACTGCTTTTCGTACACCGCACGGCTTGTTTCAATTCAACAGGTTGCCGATGGGCTTGCACTCAGCGCCGGCAACTTTCCAGCGTTTGATGGAATTGGTTTTGGCTGGACTGCAATGGGAGTCGTGCCTCATTTATTTGGATGACGTTATCGTCTTTAGTAAAACTTTTGATGACCATCTCCAGAGGTTGCGGGCAGTTTTCCTAAAGATGCGGGCTGCTAATTTGAAATTTAAGCCCCAAAAATGCCATTTGTTGCGTGATTCGGTGCGTTATTTGGGGCACATCGTGGGACGCTCGGGTATTGCTACCGATCCCGCCAAAACGCAGTGTGTCAGCTCCTGGCCGACTCCCACTACAGTGGGAGAGGTCAGGAGTTTTATTGGGTTCGCGTCGTATTATCGACGGTTTGTTGCTGATTTTGCAACAATTGCAAAACCCCTGCACGCCCTAACATCTAAAGGGGTTCGTTTCCACTGGGGTCAAGAGGAGGAGGCTGCGTTCCGCTCCCTTCGGGACGCCCTGGTGAAAGCCCCTCCCTTGATCTACCCTGATTTTTCGAAACCCTTTTTGCTCGACACCGATGCGAGCAACACGGGTATTGGGGGTGTGCTTTCCCAGGTGGTTGATGGCGTTGAACGGGTGGTCGCATACGGTAGTCGGGTGTTGTCTCCTGCGGAGCAGAGATATTGTGTTACCCGTAGAGAGCTGTTGGCAATTGTTTTTTTCATCCAACAATACCGCCCATATCTGTACGGTCGGCATTTCACCGTCCGCACAGATCATGCGGCACTACAGTATGCCCTGCGAGTTCAACAACCATCGGGACAGTTGTCTCGATGGTTGGAGGTTCTCCAGGATTTTGATTTTGAGACCACTTACCGTAAGGGCGTTCGCCATACCAACGCGGACGCTCTGTCACGCATGCCAACCGCCTCGGAATGTGCATGCCTCCTGGGGTCAGGACGTTGCAGACCTTCAGGGGACGCATCGGTCCCGGTCCTGGCAGCCACCGACGATGACGAGCCACTGGCTGATAATTCTATCGAACAACAGGGAAGGGATTCCCTGTTGGGGTTGCCCGTCACTGAGTGGGGGCGCCTCCAAATGGAGGACACCTCCCTCCTCGGGTGGCGTCGTCGCGTCGGGGGTGCTGGCCGGGTGAAAGGTGATTCGGGTGCATGGGAAATGGTACAGGGTCTGCTCATGCACTGGGACGCAAAATCACAGCGACATCGGCTGGTCGTCCCTTCGGAGTTGCGAGGCAAAGTGGTGTGGGCCGCGCATGAGCGCCTGTTACATCTGGGGACTCTAAAGACCCTCGCACTAATACAGCTAGATTTTTTTTGGCCTGGTATGACAAAGGATGTGGGGGATCTTCTGAGTTCATGCCCGCGGTGTGCGCAGCGGAAACCGCCGGCGCGGGAGTCTAACCCGCCGTTACAATCCATCAAGGTGTCCAGGATAAATGAGCTGGTCGCACTGGACATCTTGGGCCCATTTCCCGCCACCCCCAGGGGCAATAAGTATTTGCTGACAGGTGTCGAGTATTTTACGCGCTGGCCCATGGCCTGGCCCCTTGCCAACCAGTCGGCAGCAGCCATCGTGGACGCCTTTGTTCAGGGATACGTCCTGGACAAAGGTGCCCCGGAACGGCTGCTGACCGACCAGGGTAAAAATTTTTCCAGCAAATTACTTAAACAAGTCTGTGACCTCTTAGGCACAAAGAAAATTCGGACCTCCCCGTATCACCCACAGACTGACGGAATGGTCGAGCGCCTGCATCGCACCATTTCGTCAATGATGGCACAGCAGGTCTCAGATTCCCAGACTGATTGGGACCTGCATATTCAGGGGGTCTTGGCGGCATATCGGATGGCACCCCATGCGGCTACGGGGTTTTCCCCCTTTTACCTTATGTACGGTCGCGAACCCGACCCGCCTGTTCGCGCCCAGCTGCAGATCCCCGACCAGCAAGGTAAAACAAAATTGGCTGACCACGTCAAATTTAATTTGGCTAAGTTAACAGAGGCACGGGATGCTGCGAGGTTAAACTCGGACCTCCGTCAAAAGGCGAACGAGCGCCTCAGGTTGGGTCGAGCGCATGTCATACAGTGGAAACCGGGGGACAGGGCATGGTTGCACTGTCCCCAAGTACCCCTGGCTACCTCCCCAAAGCTGGCGCGACCGTGGCGGGGGCCTGTGGAAGTGGTCGAGGTCCTGCGACCACAGTGCGTGCGCATTCGTTGGGGGAAGCGGCGATGGTTCGTGCACCCCTCTCGGTTGAAACCTTTCGTCGCGGCACACAAACCCACTTCACACATGCGTGGCCAGACGTGTGGGGGGTCGACCGACTCACTAGGTCCGTCCCCACCGCGCTCACCTAATGCCTTGCCGGCCGTGCCACCTCCAGGTGCATCGAGACTGACGGGCTCACGCCCGACCACCCCTTCTGGGGATACCAACAGTCACGAGGCATCAGAGGAGACCCCGCTCCCGGACGGACGATTGCCACCTGACGGTCCGCCAACCGGGGTTCCCCCGTGTGAGGGGCCCGCCGCAAGGACACGCGCAAAAATGCGCAAACTGTTGTGATACCGCAAGGACACGCGCAAAAATGCGCAGACTGTTGAGGAACCGCAAGATTTGTATATATATGTTGTGTTCATTGTGTGTTGTGTGGGGGGGGGGTGTCCCCTGCCCATTGGTGTGCATTGTGGCTTCGCCACATATTGTATATAGCTCGTTCTTACGGTATCCGTATTTATTCGGGGGGGGGTGCGTCGGATTGTTCCCTTTCAGGGTTGAGGGTTTTGTTGTTGTCATTGTCGTTGTTGTTGTTGTTACTGTTGGTTCTTTCAAGTTAGCGTTCAAAACGTTTTTTTTAAGGCACACGCGGGGATCCAGGGGTTGAATAACCTTTATTGAAAGTTGTTGCAGCCGGGACGGCTGCGAGCTGTACAGGGGGGGGTGATGTAGGGCTGTTACAGAGGGTCTGTTTGTGTAGGGCTGTTTACATAGGGGCTAATGGAAAACAGACACAGTGGGCGGGGTCTCCGTGAGCACACGGGGTGGTGCCCGCAACGACGTCCGTACTGGACGGCGTGAGGGGGGTTTCGATCCTCTAACGGGGTATAAAAAGGGTTGAGCCAGAGAGCTCGGGGCTCAGTCTTAGAGTAGTTAAGAGAAGAGAGAAGACCAGCCAGATAGGCCCTGGACTCCCCCTGGGACGCCGCCCTTGTAAGGGCAGTGCAGGCTGGAGCCAGTGGCGTGGTCCCGGAACCAGAGTCAGACCTCTGGGATTCCGGGTACCGTAGCCCGACTAACCAGTGTCGGGCCAGACAGCCTCCCCTAGCCCGTTAGCGGAGGACTCAGCTAGGAAGGCTAGCTAGGGGTGAATTCCCAGTTGTACGGGTGAGGGGGCCGATACATCCCTCTAGTACTGTAAGCCCTTTGTATAAATAAATACGTGTGCCTTACCCCGTTGTCCACGCGTCTTCAACAACACTTCACACACATACGGACCTGGCTCTGCTGGTTCTGGGGCCCCACTCCAAAGACGAGAGGCCGTGGGGGCCCCACGGGCTGTGACTCGGCGACCGCCAGCAGCAGGTGTGTGGCCCAGACGCTCGCGTTCCCCGACACATTCAGACTCAGACTCAACGAGTCCACCGTGTGAAGCGTCCTGATGGGGGAGGGGGGGGGCACGGGGGATGGAGGGGGGGGGTGGTCATTAGCACTGGGAACATCCGAGGTCCCTACAAAGAGAATGAAGATCTCCCCTGTAGCCTTACTAGTGTTCGGGTTGGGGCCGACAGCGAGAACCTATGAAAGGCCATGCACGGCACAAGGAGGCGGGGGGGGGGGGGGGGTGGCCAGTAGCACACCAGGCCGTCTTTGTCTCCCCAGTGCTGACCTTTAAACACCGCACACAGTACTAATTTAAGGCTGAGTCGGTTGTAGGAAAGGCTCAGCAGAACTTTTAATTCGTCTCTCCAGCGTGGAAGAGTAGGCCAAATACGCACGTTAGCAATGGCCGGCATCATCAGGTGATTTCTTGATGATGCTGGTCATTACTAATGGTGCCGGTTTTAACGACCGTTGTAACAACCAGTGGAACATCCGCACCCAATCGTTAAACGTTGGAATTGACCCTGCTGCAACATTATCATCATCATTCTAGAAATCCCACTGCACCACTGCTCCCCGTGCCTGCCGACATGTCCCCCAACATTGCTCCCCCCCCACTACCCCATCTCGCCGCTCGCTCACTTGGTTGCCACGGCAGCGAGCTCGCTGTCCTGTGCGTCCATCATGTTACTGATGACTCCCAACATAGTCGAGGCCAAGTTCGACTGCACGAGGCCAACCTGAGCACACAGACACATTCCATTATACACACACCTACACACATCAACATTTGCCATTCGCAACAAAGTGGCAGTGAAGTCACCACGGCGCTTATGCAAGACGAGGTCATGCGCACAGACAAAGGTGTTATGAGTTTACTGACTGAAATGACTGGAAAATGCACTACTTGTGCTCCCCACTGTGCCACCTTTCTGCGTTTTAGCCACCCGGCGCTCTGCTCATTATTGTGAGCGTTGCTCCTGAAGGCCTCCAACTGGCCAGTAGCATCCTTTACGAGCCTACTTCACAGAGGGTGATCTTGACACCGCTGGGACCAGTCATCGACAAGTATACTCAGTTCCACATCCTCCTGTACCACATCCGTCCATCTCTTCTCTACCCCGTGCTGCGCCAGTTTACCCCTCTCTATCCAGTAAAACACAAATTGCTTGCGCACGCGATGGCTGGGCATGTCGGCGACATGACCCAGCTAACGCAGCTATGAATGCCAGGGGAGCTCATGAGATGGGACTATGTCCACATCTTTCAAGGATCTGTGAGCTCCTCACACAATCCAGCCTGGTTAAACTCAGAATGGAGCGTAGTCAGACCAGCCTGAATGTTTCAAACCGGCGAATATGTTCCTTTAGAAGTCTCCACAGTACGCAAATATAAAAAAAACCTGGAACTTCGTGTGGAGTGACAGACCAGGTAGCTTGCACACAGTGTTATGCAACCGTTATACTTACAACAAAACAAGCTGAAGATCCCCCGTATAGCCTAATCAGTGTTTTGGAGCAAGTGCTGCTAGCGAGCACCTATGAAGGCCGGCACTGTACATGAGGTGGTGGGTAGCAAGCACCACACCCGGCCACCCAGTGACAATCTTTACACACAGCACAAGTACACATTTTAGGCTAAGTCAACCTAGGAGAGGCCCAGGACCGGTTGAGATAATTTTCACCGGCGTTGGCCGTCAGCGGGAATCGAACTCGTGTCGCCGGGGTTTGTAGCACATTGCGCTAACTGCTGCGCCACCCCCCCGCGTGACGGTGAGTCGCGTGGAGACGACGCGCACCTGCAAGGCGCGCTGCAGGGTGTCCACTGTGATGTGCAGCTGCTCCTGGTTGAACTGGGCGCCCGTCTTCTGCGTGCGAGCATAGAGCGCCTGGGCGACGTTATACACGTTGTCTGCACGCAGCACACCGTCATGCGTTACAAGCGTCGTGTGCCCACGGCGCACCGTCACACGTCACTCACGTCGCCTATAAGTAGCACACCGACACATGTCAAGATTACTCGCTACTCACAAGTTAATTGTGGGTAAGTCGGTACGTGAGCGAGCGAGTGGGTAAATTAGTAGGTAGGGGAGTGAGTGGGGGAATGCCTAAGTGAGTAGGTGATTGCGTGGGTTGGAGGGTAAGCGAGTAAGAAAGTGAGTGGATGCATGGGTGGGTGAGGACGTGAGTGATTAAGTGGGTGGGCCTTGATCTTGGTGATGGAGTTGTTGGTGAGGAGGTCCAGATCTGGACACAGACCCATCAGTAAGCTCCTCCGTAGGCGAGGCTGCGCTGGCTGAGTCATGTAGCCCACATGCCCAGCCATCGCATGCCCAAGCAACTTATGTTTGACCAGATAGAGGGTGCTAAATGGGCGTGGCATGGGCTGGAGAAGAGATTAATTGATGCGGTACAGGAAGATGTGGAGCTGAGTGGATTTGCTGAAGATTGGTTCCAGTGGTGTCAAGATCGGCCTCCTTGGAAGGAGGCTTGTGAAGGATACTACTGGGCAGTTGGAGGCAGTCACCCTTCAACAACAGAGAAGAACAGAGAAGCGACGTTCACAACAAGAGCGGAGTGCCGGGCGGATAAAATTCCGCCCGGCACTCCGCATCTGGTGCATCTGCCACTCACTCTCAGTCAACCCATGGCACCTGGGTCTGTCCTGTGACCTCGTCAGCGAGCTTTGGTCACTTCACGTGGCCTTAAAGTGCACCTGGCCTGGCACAAGTGCCATGGTGACATCCCTGCCACTTCGTGGAGAATTGAAAGACTGCCCAATCAGATCATTCAACGGCGATCTGAAACAAATTAACGTGGCTCCTCCTGAAGCAGTCGAATGGATATCAAATCTCGACATCAATTTGTAATGTGTTCCAATCCCCAAAAATGCCATATGAAAGAAGAGTGGCGAATGACAGCTGTTGTTGCTGTTGTTGTTGGTGAGGTGAGGAGACGTATGGGTGAGGATACTCACCAGCTGTGATGTTCATGTTCTTGATCTCCTCGAAGGTCGGGATGTAGGCTGTAGGACCTGGAGAGCACAGACAGCGTAATCATGATGATGGCGCTGATGGTCCTGGTGATGGTGTTTGTCATGGAGAGCGATAATCGTGATGGTGGCGGCAGTGTTGGTGGTGATGGTGATAGTGATGGGCCTGTGATCCTACATTGTGGAGGCAAGCGTTGATGGATTAGGTAGAGATCTGTGGAGGAAACTACAACAGCGGAGGGCGGAGGAGCAACGCTCACAAAGAGTGTAGCGCCGGGCGGCTAAAACTTAGCGAGGTGGTACAGTGGTGAGCACAGGTGGTGCATCTGGCAGTCATCTCAGTCAGTCAACGCATGGCACTTGAGCCAGCTTCCGACACTTCACATGATGGTCTCAAAGGTGCACCTAGCCGGGGTGTTGATCTGTGATACTCACAAACTCTAACCTTTGCAAAAAAACGGAAGGGAAATCGGTTAAACTGTTTTCGGTATTTAACTCTGGGCCATTGGAAGTGTGACCCTTGAAGGTTCTGAAGGATGCTCGAGGGGTCAAAGTTCAGGGGACTCACGAGTGATGCACCCATTGACATCTGCGCAATGGGTGTGCGATGTCGTCGTTTGTGCAGATCCTGCACACACGGACACAAGTGCGTACATCACTTAGCAGCAGGGCCTCGCATGTGTACACACACACCATGAGTACAGTAAAAAAGATCCCCCTTGTAGCCTTAACTGTTAGGGAAGAAGTGTTATTAGCGAGTAGCACCTATGAAGGTTAACATGGGACACGACGGGGTGGGTGGCCATCACCATGACCGACCGCTTTTGTCTCCCTAGTGGCGATGTTTACACACCGCACCGGGTACTTATTTGAGGGCGAGTCGACCTAGGGGAGGTCCAGGACCGGTTCAGATAACCGTCACTGGTGTTGGCCAGGAGCGGAAATTGGACCCGAGTTGGCGGGTTCATGACGCAACGCACTAACCGCTACACTTTCGCTCCACACAAGACAAGACAAACACTTAGACACTACGTGCAGACAGCCGCCGTCATTGGTGACCGTGCTCGAGTGGAGACACTGCTTGGTGTGTTCACAATGGCCGTGTCTCACTCACCTGTCGGTTTGGGCTGGGAGCCGTTGCCGCTCATGTTCCCTGCACGACATTGAGGAGAGGTTAATATGCTTAGGTTTTTTTCGGTTAATGTTGTGCAAGCAGCTTACATGGTGACTCACAGACTTAAATGGAGACCCACAGAATTACATGGAGACCCACCGACTTACATAGAGACCCACATACTTACATGGACACCCACAGGCTTTCATGGGGAACCACAGACTTACATGGAGACCCACAGAGTTACATAGAGACCCACAGACTTACATGGAGACCCACCGACTTACATGGAGACCCACCGACTTACATAGAGACCCACATACTTACATGGTGACCCACAGACTTAAATGGAGACCCACAGAATTACATGGAGACCCACCGACTTACATGGAGACCCACCGACTTACATAGAGACCCACATACTTACATGGACACCCACAGGCTTACATGGAGACCCACAGACTTACATGGAGACCCACAGACTTACATGGAGACCCACAGACTTACATGGAGACCCACAAACTTACATGGAGACCCACAGACTTACATGGAGACCCACCGACTTACATGAAGACCCAGATACTTACATGGAGACCCACAGACTTACATGGAGACCCACAGTCTTACATGAAGACCCAGATACTTACATGGAGACCCACAGACTTACATGGAGACCCACAAACTTATATGGAGACCCACAGTCTTACATGAAGACCCAGATACTTACATGGAGACCCACAGACTTACATGGAGACCCACAAACTTATATGGAGACCCAGAGTCTTACATGAAGACCCAGATACTTACATGGAGACCCACAGGCTTACATGAAGACCCACAGGCTTACATGGAGACCCACAGACTTACATGGAGACTCACAGACTTACATGGAGACCCAGAATTACATGGAGACCCACAGACTTACATGGAGACCCACAGACTTACATGGAGACCCACAGACTTACATGGAGACCCACAGACTTACATGGAGACCCAGAATTACATGGAGACCCACAGACTTACATGGAGACCCACAGACTTACATGGAAACCCACAGACTTACATGGAGACCCACAGACTTACATGGAGACCCACAGACTTACATGGAGACCCACAGACTTACATGGAGACCCACAGACTTACATGGAGACCCACAGACTTACATGGAGACCCACAGACTTACATAGAGACCCATACACTTACATAGAGAGCCACAGACTTACATAGAGAGCCACAGACTTACATAGAGACCCACAGACTTACATAGAAACCCACAGACTTACATAGAGACCCACAGACTTACAAACACAAGCAATACCCACAACATAAGCCATAACATGAAGTGAAAAACGAACACAAACCACAACACAAACCCTAACCACAAGCCCCAACCATAACACCCGACAGTGTCCCTCCATGTGGTGAGAGCTAAGTCACTGCACAGCCCGCCCCACGCTCTGTGGTGAGGAAGAGTTCACCTCACCGGATTCAAGCTGCTCTAAAATTCAAACGTTTACCCCCCACCCCCCCACCCCCCCTGGGTGGGTCCACCGGCCCACCCTGGGTCGGGTCACCGCCCCAGCAAATGCAACCTCCTCACCGCATGGGAGGTTGTGGTCCTCGATGAGGAGGCCCTGTGAGTAGTTCCAGTGCACGTCCACCCAGTCCACGAGCGCGCCACTCGGAGACTCGCAGTCGGCGCTTTCCACGGCGCTCTCGTTGAAAGCCTCGCCCCACAGGCGGAACGCATACAGCTCCCCCTTGAAGGCCTTGTCTTCCGTCAACGTGCCATCCGTGTTCTGACCACGGCCCAGGGACAGGAGGCCTTCGCCTCGCGAATGCAGTGCGGACGCGTTGTTGTTGTTGACGGCGGCAGCGGAGGAGGTGTTGAAAGCGGTGGTGATGGCCGAGGTGGTGTCAGCGATGCCGGTGTCGGCCCCGGGTTGTGTTTTTTTTATTTGACCGGGCGCGTTCGTGTTACCGTTGTTGGTCTTGATTTTGCCCGCTGTGGTCGTTGCCGGCGCGCCGCCGCCTCCCCCGGGAACTTGAGAGGTGGTCGCGGCTTCAGCGGCGCCGATGCTTCCATTCCCACTCAAGGGACTTATCGGAATAATTCGGGAATTATTAACGCACGTTCCATTGAGGAACAGATTAACAAAGCTCGTGTTGGCTGTCACGCACAGCTTGTGCCAGTGGTCTCTGCTCAATTTCTTATCTTCTGGAAGAAAAAAGCCGTAAACAGTCCCTTTAAGGTGAAAATGCACAGAGGAAGAAGGGAACAAAACCACCTCCAAGCCCAGTGCATAATTTCCATTTATTGATATTTTCTGGTAGGAGAAGACCGTAGAATACTCGTATGGCACCATGTCCGCTGCGGCGACGCGAAGTTTGACGCAGACCGTCAACGCCTTTATTTTCAGGATCCCCTGCGACGTCGCATTCTCATCCACGCCGTTATTCCGGAACACCGCCTTCTTACTCAGCATGTTGCTAGCCACTGTGGGGATGGGTGGGGACACGCGAGGACAGGTGGGGACAAGCGGGGACATGAGAACACGCAGGGACACAAAGGGAAGGGGAGAAACAAGGACACGTGGAGACACACGAACACATGGAAATGCGTGGACACGCGAGGAAGAGGAGGCACACGAGTACACAGGGAACACGCGGGGGGCCATAGGGGACACATTGAGGCACATGGACACAGAGGCGGGACTTATGGGGAGAAGGGTGTATGTGGATTGTTTTTTATGTGGAGAAACTGATATGGGAAGGAGGCGTATGGTCTGCTCATTTCTTTAGTTTACTCATGTGAATAACGATTGATGAATTGGACGGTTGGGACACTCGCACATTGACGCGCCCATCGCCAATAAGGACGCCCCTATCCCATGCGTCGGCCGCACCGTGACACGCGGTGCGAGATGGGGAAGAAGGAGTGGTAGCAGAAGAATCCGAATCGCCCCGGTGATCCGTGGGATACCTTGGCGGTAGACGGCACTGAACCCCCGTTGGAAGACCGTGAAGTCAGAATGGAAGAGCACGGTGAGTGAGCTGCCCGTCGAGTTCACGCTCAGGTGGTTGGCCGTGATGCCGCAGAACGTGCCGAGGGCGCGCCCGTCGCTGTCGAGCAGCGTCATGTTGTCGTAGAGGCAGCCGCCCTGCGACTCCAGCTGGAAGTCGCTGAACGTGAGCTGCACCACGAAGCCCCGCGGTGCGCGCAGCTCCCAGCGGCAGCGCGCGCTGGCCGGGTACGCCGACGGGTAGCCGGGGGATGTGAACCCCCCGCTCGGAGCCCGCAGGACGTTCCGGCACCCCCCCGGTGAACCGCGGGACCCCTGCCCTGACCGGACGGCTGAGTCCGGAGACGACGATGAGGAGGTGGTGGTGGTAACAGGGAGGTGGTGGGGACGAGGTGGAGGAGGAAGAGATGTGGGTGGGGGGGAACGCGGGAGCGATGTCGGTTGTGGGGCGGATGGCCCGTGGGGGGGGGGGGGGGGGCTCGAGGGAGGCTGAGGGCTGTGCACGTTGGAGGGTCGGGGGTGAGGAGCGGGGCAGGCAGGTCACGAGGCACGGCCGTGCAGGCAGAAGGGGGAGCCATTCTTGGGATCAGCAGGAGGGGAGGATGATGAGCAGAGTGGGGAGAAGGGAGAGGAGGAAGTTGATGATGCATCGGTAGTAGTAGGTTGAGGTGAAGAAAAGGTAGTTGGAGTAGTATGATGATGATAAGGTTGAAATAGTAGCTGTTGGTTGATGATATTCTTGAGGTGAACATAGTATTAGTAGCAGTTGGGGAAGCACGATTGATCTCGGAGTTAAGCAGAGCCCCTCAATTCTTCTCATCCTCGGTCTTGTTAGTCTCTCTCTCTCTCTCGCTCGCTCCCTCCCTCCCAACTCGGGGGCAGGGCAGGCGTGCAGCAGGCAGGGTCATCCTCCAGGGTGCAGGGATAGGGCCGCTATGCATGAAGCATAGGTCGGGTTAAAGTGCAGGGATAGGGTTACAGGGCAGGATGCAGAGATAGGGTCGTAGTTCCAGCAGGATCATTGTGCAGCACGCAGGGATGGTCGTAATTGTGCAGAGCGAGTTACGGTGAGTACAGGGAGGTGGAGGGGAGTTAATTGCCTGTCAGGCAATTGATTCGATGTTAGGGTGCGTGGTCACGTGCTGTTAGTGGTGGACGCAAGCAGCTCATGCACACAAGGACAGTGTACACATAGACACGTGTACACACACACACACATGTACATATAGCCATGTGTACAGAGACACGTGCACATACAAGGATATGTGTATGCATAGACAGGTGTATACAGACATGGTGACATGCAAACATGTGACGCAATGATGTAAACATGATGCGATGATTATGATGTGATGTTGGTAATGATTATGGTGATAGTGTTCATGACGATGGTAGTGATGGTGTTGTTAAAGATGATAATGTTGAAGTGATGATGTGATGTTGATGTGTTGGTACCTGTAAAGGAGAGTTCCTGCGTGAACGCGAGTACCACGAGGAAGAGAAACGGAGATCGGATAGGCAGCAGAGATATCATCCTGCAATACACAAGACAAAGGATCCCCCATTATAACCTTAACAGACTGTTGTGGCAAGTGCTGTTAGCAAGCACCTATGAAGTCCGGAAGAGTACACGAGGGGGTGGGTGGCCAGCACCACGCCCGGCCACCTTTGTCTCCCAAGTGGCGATGTTTACCAACCGCGCCAGACACTTATTTCAGGCTGAGTCTACCTAGAGGAGGCCCAGGACTGGTTCAGATAATCATAACTGGTGTTGGCCTTGAGCGGGAATCGAACTCGGATGACCAGATTTGTATCGCAGCGCCCTCACCGCTACACTACCGCTCCCCACAAATACACAAAAAGACGAATACATGAACACACCTTACCACACATGCACAAAAGATACCCCGTAGAGCCTGCACATGCAGTTGGGGCAAGTGCTGAAAGTAATCAATACCAATACCTGCTATTCACTACTAAGTGACGGCGACGTCACCATGGCGACTGTACCAGGCCAGGTAGACTTTGAGGCCACGTTAAGTGTCGGAGGCTCGCTGACAGGTCACGTGACAGACCCAGGTGCCATGTGTTGACTGACTGAGATGACCGGCTGATGCAATAGCTGGGCCCCCAGAGGGCTGAAATGAATGGCAGATGTACTACCTGCGCTCCCCACTGTGCCAACTTTCTGCGTTTTAGCTGCCCGGTGCGCCGGTCATTGTTGTGAGCATCGTTCATCTGCCCTCCGCGATTGCTGGAGGGTGACTGATTGCCTCCAACTGCTCAGTAGCATTCTTCACAAGCCTCCTTCCAAAGATGATGATCCTAAAATCATTGGAATCAGTCTTTGGAAAAGTAAACTCAGCTCATCTCTCGTCCATGAAACCTACCCACCTATTCATCCACTCATACAAACACTCAAAGAGCCCCATATATTCTTCAACAGGATGTTATTAAACACCTACGAAAACTGGCACGACACACAAAACGGTGGCATCGTTAGAACCATGCAGCACCGGTCCAGCTCCCGACAGATTAATGGCAGCTTCTCCTCAGCTGGCATTCGGACACTTCCCACCCTTGCTCCACCAATCGAGGTTTAGAGAGGTGACTTCATAGCTGCCTGCCCGCACAGGGGGCCTCTGGTACAAGCTTATTCCGATTTCCTCTCTGTGGTCCTTTGTTAATTACGTTTGAGCGGGAGGCGTCATCAGCCCCTCGCACCAGCCCAGCGCCCGCGTTCGTGGACGTGAGAGTGTGCGCCGCAATAATAAGAGTTTCGTACATTGAACGCCATCATTGTTACAATGCAAGGCGATCGTCACGAGGCGCTGCTGTGTTCTCGGGAGCGATGCTGCCGTGTGTATACACAACTGAGCAGCGATTTGCGGAGTAATGTTTCACATTTGGCAAATTCGGACCGTGACACCGGCACACAATGGCCTACTCTCTTCAAATAATGGCAAGGGGAACTTTAGCGACCACCGTTTGCACGTAGTAGTGCAATAGTATTTTACGGTCAACACGCAGCACGACCACAGTATTAACCAGGGCGGCCCGCCAGATTCGACCCGCGAAACTTCTGCAACAAGCGGCGAACTCGCTGCCGCGGTCCGCGTCACCGTCAAGTGGGGGGCGGGGGGGGGGTCATTAGCCGACTGACGTCAGCCTGTTGCCAAACACCATTACTCACAATACACCAGTGTTGCCATGTGACATCACTCACTCACTCACAGTGCAGGGCCTGCACTTACACAGAGCCCACCGATGAACCGAGTAATTTTCCTACCCGGTACACGCAGGTTATGCACGCGTACAAGGATGCTCTTGTACAGCGTGTATAAGTGTTGCTAGCTGATGAGTAGCACTGTGGGTAGATCTGTTGTTACATACTCGTTTTTATTTTACCACTGAGCTATAGCGCTCTTTTCAGATGCGACCTGGCAACCGATAGCTCAACTTGGTGGCTTGTGGAATTGTATAGCAGCAAAATACTCTAAACGCATGTTTCTAAATGCGAAAGGACCCGAAGAAAAATCCACGCGACCACAGCGAGAGCGACACGCAAACTACAAATCTACAGCAGCAGCAGCAGGCGTCAAGGGTTGCGATCGCACCCAGGACCTCCTCCACACCAGGCGAGGTAGCTAACATTTCTCCACCCATGAATGTGGAATTTCCACCACCGCCTCAGCTGGGCTGCTATACACAGATGTGCACCTACGCCTCAATGCTTACTTGAGCAGGAATTCTTGAACATGTAACAAAGACGAAGATCCCTCGTTTAGCATCCAAACGGGCCGTTGCTGTGTGGGTCAGCGAGAAGCACTTCGCGAAGGGCGGCACGGCACACGAGGGGGGGGGGGGGTGGCTAGCAGCAGCAGCACCCAGCACAATACCAGAGGCTCCTCCAGCTGCAGACCGGCGCTCTCCTGCCGAGAGGAGGCAGCAGGGACGAGCGAGGAGACACGCGAGAGGGAGTTTTCACTCCACCCTCGAGGCCTCTCTCTCACCCAGACACCCGAGGAAAGAGTCTGAAAATCGTGCTCCTGTTTTTCGGATTAAACGTGCGGGGAAATGGCCACAGGCTCTAGCCCCCGACGCAACACTTTCTGACGACCTCGTGTCGTTGTTGTTTTGAGTTTACCCGAAAACGCGGAGTGGAGTCGTCCGGGAACGTGGTGTGAGGAGACTTCCGAAACGCGCTTTTCCCACCAAAAAGTAGTGGGGGGGGGGGGTCACGTGGCACGTTGGGTGACGTCACTCATATATATTTGTCATATTTAAACGATCCGAACGTGTCCTTAAAACTACGAACATCCGATATATATTTTTAAACTTAGCCCTACAGTATATATTTAAAATAAAACAACGAGTGATTTAAGCTGAAGATGTTTCAAGTTGATTTTGTAAAAAAACAACGGAGCAGTGTCTGTTTTCAAATGGCGCGGCGGGTAAAGGGGAGTCACGTGATTTGCTGGAGGCTTAAGCTGGGTTCCAGAGATACACGGGGCGAATGACATCGTCCAAACTGCAAAGAAAGGAAGATACGCAATGTCTCCTTCACATATCCCTCGCTCCACGTACAAAATAAGAGTTTTATTTTGTAACACATCACATCAACCGCCAGCGCATTCTGGAAGTGAATCATTTCCACAGAATGTCAGTAGAAGCAAACCTCTGGACCAGGTTCGACATTCGGTGTCTCCCCAGCAGAGCAAGGTTCGCTTGAACCAATGCTGGTGAACTACCACGTGGCTATCGCACGCCTGTCAACCCCTTACCAGTGCCCTACCTTATTACTGACCAATTCCGACCTTATTGGTCACCCCGTGCCCCTTAGAGATCTCAACGTTCATCCTACAAAGCCCCATCACAAGGGAGAAACACAAATAGACAAAACATTGCTTTTGTCCGTATTGAAACGGCTGTTCGCCATATGGACCTGAAAATTCAATCTCCCTGTACAATAATACTGGTAAACCGTAAGCCTACGTGTTAAACTAAACCGTATGAGTTGACAGGTATGGGGCCGTACATAAAACACATTCCTGCGGAGGGAGCTGGTAGGAACGTTGGGTTGCTCGGTCAATGGCCAGGGTCAATGGCGGCCTGGTGAATTCCGCAAATATGCCCGACTGTGAGGGCGGGCACAAGCCGGCGTGAGTAGGTTAAACGTTGAGTTTTATAAGGGCACCACGGGGTGACCAGCCCCTCCCCACCCAGCCCCACCCAGCCCCACCCTCCCCACCCTCCCCTCCTCACCCAGCCCCACCCCACCCTCCCCTCCCCACCCAGCCCTTCCCCACCCTCCCCTCTCCACCCTCCCCTCTCCACCCAGCCCCACCCCTCCCATGCACGACGGACACAATAATCGCGTGGGCTGGTGTAACCAGGAGGTTCCAACCAGTATGACGTCACGCACCTAGGGGAGGGGGGGTCAGACATTTGTGACGATGTGTGACGAGGGGGGGTGGGGTTTGAGAAATGTGACGTCACATCAAAATGCGCAACTTTAAATAAATATAGACAACACGTTCTACTTAACTAAATAGACTTTTTAATAAATGTTTTCTCCTACAACATCAGAGTGCAGCGCCACATTAAATACGCACTACAATCACAATAGTTTAAAGCATGTCTTATTTTGGGGGGGGGGTCTGACTTTTTGTGACGCTGTGTGACGAGGGGGGGGGGGGGTCAAAAATCGCCCAAAATCGCGTGACGTCATTTATGGACGCCCCCTATGTTATAGGCAAGGACCCCTCTCTGTATTCGGTGTGAGGCCCAAGTTGAGCACGAAACTCCGCAATACACAGCGCAGAATCATCACTCGCGTCATTCTGGAAATTATAAATCGTATATAAAAATATAAATCGCATGTAAATAACGAAGAGATAATTGTTTTGTGTCACGGCCAGAAGAGAGCGTGGCGGACAAGACGTCATCATCACATCGGTGTTCATCCAACAGTGGGTCGACCATAACCGTAGCGATAGAAGAATTGCGAAATGCGTGAATGGAATTAACCTGAGAGACGGAGACAGGGACACAATCAGATTATTGGCATCATCCAGCAGTGGATAGTCCGTGACGATGAAAGCATGGAGATATGCGTGTCTGGCATGACGCCCACAGAGGAAGGAGCAAGTGGTTTGTAGAGCACACACAGTGTGATGACATCGTCACCACCACCACCATCATCATCATCCAGACTGTTAATGAGAGAGACGCGAGTGGGGCTTGGGGCAGGAGACGTCACGGCGAGAATGAGCGTGCTGACGGACGACGATGATCACAACGGGAATGGCGAACGCAGCCCCCCACCCCACCGTGGAGGAGACGGAGCGATGGTTCTGGTGACGTCGTCTCGTGGTGTGGATGGAGCAGCAAGATGATGTGTGGGTGGATCGTTACGTCGCGGGCGGTGGCGGCGGCGGCGACTTTGGGGGAGGAAAGAGATGGCCATCATCCAGCGGTGGATTGACCATGGCTGCCGATGATGACGATATCGTAATTCCCCGACAACATGTTC